TCAAAAACTATAGTTGATTAATGAAGTGCAATAGGTAGTCTTACTTTATCATAGACATACATTTTTTTTTTGTCGCTCTACGCAAATAGGAGCAAATAGCACAAGCCTAATCAAAAAAGGAAAGAATTCTCAACTTTGAGCATTAAAGATGATAAAATGATATTTAACTCTTAAGAAAAGACTGAAATTGATAGGAAAGAAAGGATTTTAGTCGAGATGTGTTCATCTTTTTCACAAGTTCTCACATAAAAATATTTTTGGCACCAACTTGATCAAAAAAAGAAAATTTTTTTAAAAACTGTCACCCTCCATTCCACAAAATTGTATTTGAAATTAGATACAAAATGGTCAAGGTTAATTTAATTTTCCATTAGAAGATGATTACATTAGTAGGCTGCTTGCAAATATTGTAAGTATGCTATTTTATTTTTATAAGAAATGAAATGAACAATCTGTACGGAAACGAAGATAGTTCAGAATAATTAATTACCAAATATCTTTTAAAAAATTCTTAAATGAACCAATGTCAAAATTCTTTTTTAATACATCTTAAGATTTTTAATTTTCCTCAATTTTGAAACGACTCAATTATACCCAATGTCTTTTCTATAAATTCAAGCTATTTCAAAAAACCAAAGTTGAATAGTGATGAATTAGCAGAGATATGTTTTTTGCATGCACTAGAGCTATTTGCTGCTTTGAATTTGTAGATAAACTGATTCATAATATCAGATCAACCATTCAATAATGATTCACATACTTTTAAGCTGTAGCAGTACGCCGCATAAAAGAAATTTACTGAAGTGTCTTTAATCTTAATTGGCAGAGTGAAAAAAGGAAAATAAATTTAGAAATGAAAGGAAACAAAGAGAATTTTAAGAGTGCAAAAATTACACTGCAAATGATAAAGAAGAAAGAGATGAAGAATAAATGAATGACCTTTCAATTCATTTTAGCATTAATGACAGAACAGTCATTATTCAAAATGATTGACAACCATATGTTACGATCTTCTAAAAATACCAAATGATAAACACAGATCTCATTTTATTTTGAAATTTATCATAGAGAATTCTTTTTGTCAAATGGTTCTGATATGCTCAAGTAATAATGTCTGGGAAGTAGGAAAAGAGGGAGAGGGAGAGGGAAAGAGAGAATGGAAGGAGTTAAATACTGGAAGAGAACGGGGCAGGCCTCTATGATAGGAAATGATATCAAAAAGACGTTCGTTCCTTCCTTGCATTCCTCAGACAGTCAGTCCCATCCACCCTTTAACTTTAGCTTTACGATTCAGAATGGAATTGACGAAAGAGATATCTCTTACTATTCACTGTTATGTTTAAATGAACTTTTGAATAAAAATTGGTGTGAGAAAAATGAAGGTTGGCAGCATTCCAAACGAAGTTTATTTAGTAGACAAAAGGAAAGGAATGAAAATCAATGCTGTCTTGTTGGAGACTCGAGTGAAATGGTCTAGTCAGTGCGGGGTGTGCTAGAGGTGACCTTCAGACGGAGGCGGGAGGAGGATGAAGGTCAGCTGGAGTGCGACTGCGACACCTCACAGCCTTTCTCCACTAAGACTGCGGAGACCACCTCCACCGACTATCACCAGCACCACTATCGTTACCACTAGCGCCACTACCACTACCGCCAGGCCAGCATCTACTAATAGTTCGAGCAGATGTATTCTGGTTCAGAGGGAGGTAAATCCTCCTCCTCTGTTATGAAATCAAATTCTTTTCTCTCCTCTCCTCTCCTCTCCTTTTCCTCTTCTTCTTCCTTCTCTTCCTTCCCGTCCTAGTTTCACACTCCGTTGGATACTATACAAGACGAACAGAAATGGCGGCTTCTTTCCCGAACCTCCCCTAAATGTCCGTCTTTAAACTAGATGATGAATTGATTTTGATCTCCCTTAGTTGATAAGATGAGATTTAAAAAATGATGTTGTTAAGCATGGCCCATTTAATATTTCTTTTTACCTTCATTAGTGCATTTACTTTTGGATTAAACTCTGTATCCACTCAAAAAGTAAGTGATAAGCAAACATATATGGCTAAATAATAGAGAGACTAAAGCCTCAACTTTGAACATGACAGTCATTAAGTTTTCGAAAATTCCATTATTACTTGAAAAACCTTTTCAAATTAACGACTCTTTTTATAAAACTCTTCTTTAGTGATAGATAGCTATGAAGGATGACACCATTTAAACAAGTTGAGTAATTCCTTCACTCTCAGGCACTGATTTCAGAAATGGCGTCTTCCCCCAAATTTCTCCTAAATGCTTGTCATTGGTCAAAAAAGTCAACTTAGTAATTTCGAATGAAGAGATCCCAGATATAATCCTTGAAACCCGTTTTTTCAGTATTAGCTATGGATTTTTCATATTTCTAAAAACAGCATTAATTCCAGAACGATTGTAAGTAGTCTATCCTTTGATCTGTTTGTGTGACACTATTGTTTCTGATACAACTTGCTTAAAAATCATTTGAGTGGAATGTGAATTACTTTCGAGAAAAAAAAACGAAAACAAAAGAGCCGTCTCCGTTCACACTTAATAAAAGTTATACATCATATCTGAACACAGTCCATATGTTTAGCGGAAAATTTTTTGTCATAAAACATTTGGTTTAGTCTGTCATCTAAATGTTGAAATTTTTTCGGAAATATATTTCAGGAAAGAATTACTTGGAAAAAAATGGAATTATTGCAACAAATTCCATCAGAGTTATTTTTAAGCGCAATTTCAGTAGATCAGTAATCCAGCTTACACACATTTCCTTGCTTTTTATGCTTTTCTGATCTTTATCACAGACGAGAGTTGAAGCCACCACAGTGAGAATGATAATAGATAGAAAAAAATCATTTGGATGGAATCTAAATCATTTTCAAAAAAAAAAAAAAAAAAATCGAAGATAAAAAGATAGTCTTTCAGCATAAAAATGGAATTATGAAGAAAGAGATCTTAAATAAATTTAAACAATGATAAATTGATGAAAAGAAGCATTCAATGATATAATTCAGAAACAGTATAATTAGATGTACTGAGTGATACATTCCATCCTGCTTAATTCAGGAACATACTGAAACGCTAATCGAACAATCAAATGATAAACTATTGACAATATTTAATCACTTTTATTCATTTGTACTCGAACTGAAATTCAATTCATAATATAAACGACATCTTGTTTCGTGCAACAAACATTTTTTTCAGAAATTTTAACAAAATCTTTCCATATAACGATTTTAAACATATCAAAATGCTAATCAGGTAATAGGATGATAAGCCATTGACGCCACTTGATCACTTCAAATCAACTACAAAAAACAGAAACCTTTTAAAAACAAAAGTAGTAGTTTTTTTATTATTACTAAAGCCAAATGATTACCAAGTGACAACATGACTAGCTATTGACACTATTTAATAATTTTCAATTCGTTTTTATCCAAAACTGAAAAAATATAATGCATGATACATGCATTAATATGACCTTTTTTCATAAAAGGAATATCACTTTAGAAACTGTAATTATAATATTTTCAAAAACATTGGTATGAAGTCGTTTTTACCCAAACCCACAATATATTCATTAAATGTTGCTTTTTCCGTGCAAATAATATATTTTTAGATGTTATAACAGTGGTTTTCTTGTATATCTTAACATTAAAATGCTAATTAAGTGATAAAATGATAACCATTTTACATTATACAATCATTTTTAATTCGTCTTACCCAAAACTGAAATCCATCCGATAGTATATACAACCAACTCCTTCTTCATGCAACATTATCATCAAAATTATGATCAAGTGGTAGAATGATAAGCCACTGATATATTTACTTTCGATTTACTTTTTTTTAGTTGATAATACATATTGATAACACTCAGTGATACATTTAATCCTTCCTAAATCATTTATAATTTGAATGCATGTTTTCCTATCTTTCCTGACAATTTGTTGTTATTCGTCAGTTAAATACTTCCTTCCTTCAGTTCAATAAAACAAAAACTTTTATGACAGAAATGAAGGAAGAATGAGTGCCTTAACTAAGAAATTTCACTTCATTTTGATTAAATCCCACTAATAAAGAGAATAGAAATAAATGTAAGCTTATTGAACTCATCACTTCTTATAGATCTCTCATACTTTTGAAAACAGAATAAATAGAGGAGAGTGTTGCAAAAGGTAAAGCAAGGATTTGCACAAAAATAATTTGAATCACTCATAGATCCAAAAACTGTGACATAATTAATATGATACAAAGGAGACGGAATAGGTCGCGTCATATTTTCCTCTAAGATTTCTATGATTGTAGCCTTATCACCTGGAGTGACGACTAATAGCCGAGAGTATCTACAATCGTTCATGTTCTAATCTTTCAGTGACGTAAAGTAAAATGAACACATATTCCAGGGAAGAACACACTCGTACAAATGAATATGTTCAGGAAAATTAAAATTCAGACAAGTATGCAGTATGGATGTCAGAAGAATTCTCATTTAAGTTGCATATGTATGAATCAGAAATAGGAAAAGAAAAAATTCCTTGTTGAAAAACTGCAATGACCAGGACAAAGAATAAGTACCCACAACATCATGTTTTCCCGTTTGTCGGATATTTCAGTTTAGATTTGAGTTAAAAATGCTACAAATACATCACTCAGTTTAATAGATCATGATACAGAGTAGTAGCCACATCACCGACACAAGAATTGGGAATTAGAGAATTTTGCTAGTAATTTTGATAGCTTATCGACCTTCGAAATTCTGATGCTCATTTTTTAAGATTTCTGGATGGAATTCTATAAAACTACTCTTGTGAGGAAATTTCCATATTTCTCGAATTTTCTTCTGGAACGATTTCAATGAGCTCAAATAGATATAGTTGTTCTGAACAAGACTGAGTACCTTTGCCTTCAGTTTTTCATTACTGATCCCATCATATTTCGTCTACCTTTTCAATCACCTATTGTAATATATAATTAAGCAACTTTTTTTAGAATAAGACAATGAAGAAATCGGAATCGTAACATAAAACTGATCCGATGAAAACTACAGACACAAAATTATAAACACATGAAGCCTTCTTTATTCGCTGCATTATGTAAAACAAAAAATCGATGTAATCTGCGGACAAGAAAGCACGCAAATCCAGGACCTAAAGCGCTTCTTCAAACTTAGTAAATTAAAACTCAATTTCAATACAAATCCTGAGCAGGTATCACTCAACTACATTTCCTCCTTAAATTTTTTAAGCATATTAGAAATGTTATTTCAAGTCTACATTTCTTACAACAAATAACTTTGATTTTTATAAGGAGAAAAGAATTTAATTCTTAAAAGTACTAAAAAGACCGGGTAAGGGAATTTTTTGGCACATTGTTCAATGACATTTCCAAATTCATTACTATCTAGAAATGCCGTGGATCTAAATTATCAGATAAACATTGGAAGAGTGGAAAGTAAATATAAGTTTCGCGATCGTTCACAGTTTTCATGCTTTTAGTGATTTTAATATATTCGAAAACTTCATTATTAAACCTATTATTAACTGTTACTTTATGAAAATAGCACAACCAAACTGCAGTATAAACGAACGAAGAGAAATTATTTAGTTGAGTAAAATGAAAACTAAATACCAACTCAAATTTAAAAACTTGCTAAAGAAATAAATTCTACCCAAAAATGAAATCTTATAAAAGAAATGTTTTAATAATGCACAAAAAAAGTTTATCAAATCATAAAACATTTAAACCGTATAAAACTAACCTTTAAATGTTTGAGATAAATCAAAATAGAAATTTGTAAAATAGAAATCCCAAATTCATAAAAATGAAACATGGAATATAATAAACAGTCAATAGCACCAACAAACATATTTAAACAAAATTTGACTACATTGTTTCAAACATTGGTTTCTCCAAATATTCAAAACCATTTACAGCTGCAATTAATGCTAGTAATTTCTCATTCAACTTTGCCGTCAGATTTACGTCGTCTTTTAAATGCATACTGGAAATAATCATTTTTTGAGAGCTCGTCAATAACTCAGCAAGCTCCACACTTGTTTCGGGATGCTTTTCTACCTGCAATCAAGGATCAGTTTTTACTGATATATATATAAATAATGTTTGCCTCCTACAAAGCCAGAAATTGATAACCATTCAGGATCATAAGGCCAAATAGATAGATCGTTTTCCATGCGACACCTTTTTTTATAAAAAAGATCTCACTTTTGCAATTAAGTGTGAAACAAATTTTCCTGAGGCGTGCACCGCGATTTTTTCATTTCTTGCCAGCAATATTAAAAGTGTTAAGAGAAGACCGGAAGGTGCATCTGTGCACTCCCGTAATTGGCTTACTAATTGATTTTCATAGGTTTTGATCAATTCCACACTGGAAACATATGGATAAACTATATTTTAAAAAAGCATGAAAAAAAAGTGAAACAGAATTTCAAAATCCTATATATGAAACGATACTAACTCTTTGCAGAAGGGCAGCAATTTTTCGGAAACTTTCATTGAAATGCACAAATAATATAGAGCAATAATAAATTTGCTTACAAACAAATGATAAAAAATCTCATCTCCGGAGGGAAGACATGCAGAGACAAATGCATCAGAGCAATATATGACATGAGTTTTTTTTATAAAGTTTATAAGAATTCAAAACAAAGAAAAGCAAAGCACACACCGTTGTTTTTTGTCAGGCACTTTTAAATTTAAGGCGCAAACGGCTGATGAACAAACACCAAATACTGCATCATGGAATGCTTCCAGATCCTTTTTTGATAAAGCTACGAATAATTTCTCAACGGCCATACGACTTTCCATACTTTCAATATTTGCTATCGTTTCACTTCGAGCCTAAAACATAAAAAGCTAGAAAAAAAAAAAAAAAACAGACTTCCCCGTCAAATATGATATCAGTTGCACATAAAATTCATTAAATTTATGAACAAATGAGATTCAGTTATGAAATTGGTTAATACAAGAATAACGAACAGACAGTCAAGTTCACTAGCAAGAAATGCACTATCAAGATGAAATTAATCTCAGAACGAAAAATTAGTAACTGAAGTATTCGCTAACTTTAAACAGTTTCCAGTCAAGGTAATGATTGTTTCCTCAATACAACTTTCAAAACCAATAACATGAATCATACATTATTATACGATACCTTTGCGTTAAGAGTATCAATATTTTGTTTTCTCGATATATAAGATAACACATTATTTGCAAAACATGTACATAATGTGCGAAGAAGATGTATCTTGAGATTATCAGCCACCGTATCTGAATTCATTTCTTTCTCGAAAACTGAACTGTTTTCATAAAAAATAATTCCAGATAGTATATTAAAGCTTTTTCAAGAATTTTTAAGCTAACTAACAAGAACCGTTGAATAGCAGAATAATTCCTTTTCGAAGACATCAATACACCATTGAAGTTCTTCATTCATTAATATGAGTGGAGCATTTACATATTAGACATGCTGAACATGAAAATATTATAAATTCAAAAACATTTACATACGAATATGGTTAAAAATAACCTTCAAAAGTAGATGCACCATATTCGAAAATACAAATGTTATCATAAAGTGCAGACAATGTTTCCCGTAACTGTGCATGAGCACGTTTTTGATCTTGTACGGATGTGGTCCACACATTATGCAACAATAATTCCGTTCGAGTTTTTAACAAAGTTTCTGCTTTCGTTCGTATATGATCAGTAATATCCTCCAGCAGTTCATTTGGTATATCACTTGTTCTTTTCAGTTCCTTGATAATTTCCTCTTCTGATAATGTAATTAGCAGCTCTAAATTTTATGTTGAAAAAATTTTTAAAAGAGAAAGAACAAGTTCAATCAACATTGTGAACCATTAAACTCACATTAAAGAAAAAAAAATTTTTTTTAGCCATCTCTGACAGAAACTATTAAGAAAATACAAAAGAACTGAATTAATCCCTAATCTTCTTCATTATCGAACCAGAATACCTGAAGTCGACTCTTCAGAAAGAATCTGTCTCACTATTTTTCCTTTTCCACCTCTAGTTTTCTTGCTCTTCGCTATATCCCAGTCTTCATCTTGCTTCTGTAAGCAAATTTCGTCACTTTTTTTTTTCCAAAAAAATTTATTAACAATAAGAACAGTGCGAATAAAACAATATATACGTGAAATACGCATAAATACTCCAATATACCTTTTCCGACTTTTTGGAAGGTTTTTGTTTACCCCAAGTGGAAGTGATTTCTTCAGCTCGTGTATTGATCAAGTTATCCAAAGCTATCATTGCATATGTGTGAAGCTGGCGGTTATAGAGATAAGAAGTACCAGACACAAATAACCAATCCTTTAAAAACGAAAAACACGAGACAATGAAACACGAACTTCCTGCCAGAAAGGAAATATGAAATATATGCGGAAATAGTTCAATCAATCATTATTCATTACAAACCTCGTTATTTTTTATTAAAGAAGAGACCGCGTGTTCAATATCTGTTTTACTTTGAACAATTTCTGGAATATGCAATCGGACATCAACAACCGATTTAGAATTCATCTAAAACACTGATAACAGTTAAAATTGTAATCTACGTTTCCCTATAAAACTGTATATAAAACAGGAATTTATAGGAGCATGTTGACTAGCTCCTCAAATAAATTTTGTGCTAGCTAACCTCCTCTTTCACAGCTGCTTCAATTTCTTCCCAAAGTTTGATGCTCATAATAGCGGATGGAAAATATATTAATTTCGAATGCACCGTATTTTCCAATAATTCTTTCATATAAACTTTTGGCTCTACCACGGAAAGTTTTTTGAACACTGCTAACTCTGAAATATATCTTCAGCACGGAAGTGAATTGTATAGTGTTTAGAAAATGTAAAATATGTCAACTTAATTTTAAAAACCCCGAAACGCATGCTGTTAATAAATCAAAATATTACTCAACATTCCCTCTTGCAAAAATGTCTTTAGTATATACTGCTTAACCAGAACTGTATAAATATTGGGATGATATAAACAGTGATTTGAAGTACGAGTACCAACTATTTTTCCCGGAACCTGAAAATTAACATTTCGGCTTAATAAGAATTATACAATAATAAATTTAAGTGAGTTTCTAGCATTCCGCGGACAATAGGAATTAAAGAAAACATATTATTATCTGAAGAATTATTTATTGAATTATATGAATGACACGTAGTAGTGACTACTATGCTCTTGAAGATATAAAAATTTTTAGCGTAATATTTTGATATCCCAAACAATTAGTAATTTTTTTAACTAAAAAGATCAGCTCTCAAATCAAACTAGAAAATTTGATAAAAGTATTCAAAAGCTAACAAATACAATAAATATAAAATAGCTATAACAGAGAAGTCAACTAAGTAATGTTTTTTGCTCTTTAAACTAGTCATAAACATTATGTACAAAAGCTTCTCATGCAACACAATTCAAAAAACTGGTTTTTGTGAAAGAACCTCTTTCATTGTGTCCAGCTCATCAAAAAGTGACCAAAACATCGCATTTGTTAACTGTAATTCAGCCTGCAGTCTAGTGATTGGTGTCACTCTAAAAAACAATAATAAAATAACAGATTCCCACCTTGCATCAACACTTCAAATAAAACATTACAACAAACTTGGTTAATCCACAAAGCATAGCTCTAAGGATATTTCGTTGAGCAGATAAATAAGATCGAGTATAAAGTGCATCACCATCACGTATTGCATCAACCTTCGAGCCAACTTCCACCAGAACTAAGCTATTCACTATTTCAGCTGGCAAATCCCATGTTTTTGCTAACTGCGATACAGAAACTATACCATCGTCCATTAATCGTTCATTCAGACTTTTGCACAACACATCTATATAACCCCTGAAAAAAAAAAAAAAAACGATTAAATACAGGTAAACCAAATAAGTAGCTATAACTCTTCACCACCACAAATTATACCATCTAAAAAGGATTATTTTAAGCGTAATAGTCAATATTTATCAAGAAACAACTAAAAAGAATTTCGCTCTAATGAAAATCAACTATTACCTTTCTTCCGCTTGTTAAACCAAAATGAAAAACTATCCCAACTTCATAAATAAGTACTACAAATATTATCGAAGCAGTGAAAAAACAAATCTGGAAATCAGTTCGGCGTTGCAAAGTATAAAAGTCGATGACTGTTTTACGATGACAGACACAGCACTTTCAATGTATTCATAATCGACATTCAAAGTATGCGCCAAATCATATAGTGAAACGCGACCTTCTAAAACAAATAAACAATGTTCTCATCGTTCGAGTCATCTACTCCTCAGCAAAAAATATAAGGGTTATATTTTTTAAGGCATTTATTTGCAAGCGAGAGCTTAAATGTCAGATGAGAAATGAACAAAACAGATACCTCGACCGATACATTCATTTTTCACTTCATTCAATAAATGACTACGAGTAACATACTCTTTGCCATCAGTTGTGAACAGAATATCGATAGCTTTTGAGTTGATTAATATCGACATCAACTCCACGCAGTTATTTTCTGATAGTCTTAAAAGAAATGGCAGGTTTTAACATGAGACAGGCATCATTTTCAGTATACTTTTTTCAGAATCTCAAATAAATTCCAAAGAACCTACTTTTTTGAGCTTTCTGTCAACTGTAATCGTTGAAAATCAGCAGCCAAACGCTGTATATCTGCCCATGTGGCACTCATCGTCCGAAACTGAAATAAATCTCCCTCTATAAGTATATACAAACGTCGTCACTCTAATTTTTTTAATCGTTCCGAATCCCTTTTAGCCATATGCTTTTTTTTATTAAAAAAAATTTTCTTCATTTTTTCGAATGCGTCACATGAATGCACTATCCTACAAAAATATTGAACAGGTCGTGTTTCACTTTCAAGTAAAGATGAAAAAACAGTGCAAAAACACCATAGATCGAGATATACCCGTTAAACTCATACCAATCCATTGTTAGATGGGCATTACTTAAACCATCTTCCTGAATTCACTGAAATTCCTCATATTTCATAAGTACTAGCCATTAATTTCGCTCAAGTAGTTTTTGAAATTCCAACAAATGGATGACGGAAAAGGTACTGTGACAATTACAACAATTTGTTATCCTTTTATCATATAAAAAATAATATCACAGTTACATATTATTAAGGAAAAACGAATCAATAAATTAACGCAAACAGATAACACGATAAAATAATATAAAATCTGTAAAATTTGAAACCCCAGAAAAGAAATCGAATTTTCCAAAACTTTAATTCCATCTTAAACTATTCAGTAAGTAAAAAGTGTCAGGACTAACGTTAACATAATCCAATAAGTGAACAGAAAAAGTTAATGGAACACATATTAAAAAAAATGTATGCCATGGTAATTCCATATAAAAATGAGCTCAAATATATTCCATGCGAGTTCATATCTGGAACCTGAATGAATTTAAGGGCGAAGACATGGAGGAAAGAGGATTTATGCAAATAATTTAATATACTTGAACAATTCCTGCATGTCACACTATACAATGCAGAAGCTTATATAAACAGTCTGTTCATTCCGATGATATCCACAATAATATAAATAAATTTACGCAATCGATTTGTATTAAAAATTCAAGAATAAACAGGAAGCATCGCAATCAAATACAATAATTCTTCATACTTCTTCCGTAATATCAGCTGTACTGGTCTCTAATGTACTAGGGACAGATTGAATCAAGCTTGGGATTTGAATGGTTTCTGTTGAAGGATTTGCACGCAACATTAATTCGTCGATATGTAATACTTCAATGTGACAAGATACTGCCAATGTTTTGAAATAGTCCAAATCTAACAATAATTGTCGCCTTATTTTGTTTTCGTCAGAATCGGCATTATTCTCATTTACCGGCATTGATTTTCTCTTGAAACGCTGCAAACTTGTCTCCGTCTGCTCAACAGACTTCAAAACCTAGAACTATTTAAGAAAATTTTAATAACCAGAAAAAATTTTTTGCATCAGAAAAATTTTAATAAGCAGAAAAATTTTAAATTAAAAAATTTTAATTTAATTAAAATCTCTATCATAAGAAATAATCAATATAAAGTAATAACTTGAGCGATGTAATGACGAATTCGGGAAACAGAAATGGCAGAACTTACAGTCTTTGGTAATTAAAACTACTTAACGTAACTTGGCTAAATAAGGACTTCATGGAGAGACAAAACTATAAAAGCTACCTGCTTCGCTTTAACAGAAAATATCTCCATTGATTCAGCAAATATTTGTTTGTATACAGATGTAATATTTTCTTCACTCCAACAATAATGATTCATTTCATCCTAAAATTTTCTGATACTGACAAAAATTAATTGAAACAAGAAAACCGTATATGTTTCCAAGATATCTGAAATTAAAGTAATTACTTTTAAATAACCCATACTTTGGAAATTAAAAAAAATGGTTTCGAATGAACCTTGAATAATTTCAATGCAGCTGACGTTTCACTGATATATGGCGATATATTGGTTGGTGCAGGCTTTTTCGTCCAGCGATACTGGCGGGGAATTCCACAAACACCATCTAAAACCTGAAAAATTATGTTGTAAGTTGTTGGCAAATTGCATGTGGCATATTTCAAGCATGCTATTAACAACTTTATATTCAGCTTTTTACAACAACTAATATAACTACAATTAATATTTATAAGTAGTTTGGAAATTGCATATAAAAAATATATCATCAATATTCTTTCCTCGTTCCTATATCATGAAAAATTATGAAAAAATGATAAATTGCTTATAATGTAACATTAACGATAACTCTATAGAATGAAATGCATCATTACTGTTGGTACGATATTGTGCAAACTGCATGTTACTGTCGTTGCGACTAAGAAAACCATGCAGATTATATTCTCAGGTAAAGTAACAGTATTCTTATATAGGCTAATTAAAATGGTGCACATTAAACAAATAATGAACACTGAAGGTAAAATCAGCCATTGGTACATAAGCGTCTCACAATTTGCACGAAATCTAAAGAAATTGCATCATAAATTGAGAAAATAGAAACCCACCTTTGCCACCGATGTAACAGCATCTTCGACAATAATTTTTTCAAATTCTTGAATCTTTTCAGCTATCTTAGTTGAAAAAATCGATAAACATTGCCCGAATATTGTCACATCCAACTAGAATTCCATTAATTACAAATCACTTAAAACGAGTTGCTAAAAAAGTTGGAAACTCTTGTACCTCATGTTCACGAATTTTTGGCCAAATTGATGACAACGCAATTCCAAAAGTTCGATTATCAACAGTTACACAATCAGCATAAAGAGCACAAAATAAGCGCCAAATTTCAAAATCTTGAGGCGCTTTCCTGTCAATCCAGTAATAACTGAAAATGTGTTACATGTACGAAGATCAGATAAAAACAATCCGTCCTGTCAATCCAGTAATAACTGGGATTTCAAAGTTATCTAAAATATTAATCAAACAATCTCACCTCTTAATTCCTTCGATCCATTCCAAATATTTGGCAAGGACTTTAAGCGTAAAATCCCAAAATTTATCAATTAAAGTCGGAAGATAAACTTCATCAGACCAAATCCTTTCTAAAGTGTCGATAACAAGTTTCGAAAAATCATAAAAGATTTTTTCTTCCCATTCTTCTTTTTTCTCGTTAGTGATCAATTTAATAATGGAAGGATCAAGCTGATCCTTCAACTGCGATAGAAACTGCTGCGTCTCCAGCTTGAAGTATACAACCACATTGAATCTATTACGTATCATCCGTAGAACAGTACATGACTTGGCGGCATCAGGCCAATTACCGATGAAATCACAAGTTGTCTTATAGCACCGATGAAAAAGACGATTATCGCTTGGAACAACAACAGAACCAAAGTACTGAAAAAATCATATACGCTGAACAACACTTCAGTATATTTACAAATTCTAGTCATAATAAATTAGACTATCATTTCGTCAAAATCCCAATCTAGATAATCAGCTAAAGATAAAACAGACAGCAATAATATTCGACAGCAATTAAAACAACCTGATCGAGAGATGAGACAATAAAAGTGAGGAGACATTTATCGAGAAATGATGAAATATTTGCGAACGACGCGCCACTATTCTCCATTTTTTGCACCCAATTTTCTCTAAGCTGAATTCATGACCAAACCAGTTTCACCTTTTAGAAGCTATGAAATAGCAAAGTATCTATTTATTACAGGTTTAAGTTATCCAAAATTATTCAATTACAAATGAAAGGCCACAATCACAACTTGAATTTATTTCGAGTGAAAGTCTTAATTAATGTTATTATTGGACGAGTTACAAAACTCCTTTGAAGTAAAAAATGGACTGTAACAACCTTTCGAATTGTTGCATATACTTCAATCAAAAAATCTCCCAAGTTGCTACGTGGTTCTCCAATGTATTCAGCAATAATTTCTGTCATTACACAAGAAACGGCTGAATCGGTACTCTTATTCAGTGTAATTATACCAAGAATCTGTTCGATGAAGCGACAATCACCTTTGAGATCTTGTATTAGCCAATACTCAGTCAGTCTACCAACATGAGTCAAACAAATATCATAAGCAGCCGCTACCTATAAATATTCATAAAACAAAAGATTAAGAAACTTGAGAAAAAGAGAAACGAAAAATTGTAATAAACAAAACTAACCTTATCATCGACAACGTTTACCTTACCAAACCATAAAACTACATCAATGACTGCGTCAACAAAATTTTGTAACCTGCAAACATTATTACAACCTTGTATAATATTGCGACAAAAACTGCATGATAATTCACATATACTATAAAGATACAAATGAAAACACTAAAATGATCGTCAAAAAATGATACTGCAATAGAGTTAACATATATTTAAACTTGTTTCTTAAAAGCTGGTAAGGAAAACAACAATCAAATTTATGAAACAAAAAATCGTGAACAATAAACTGTTTTGTTATTTCCACTGCAAATAATAAAAGAGAAGTCCACAGATATAACAAATGAATGGATTATTCTCACATCCAATATTTTGGTATTTATTTTCACCTTAGCAAATACAAAAAAAGCAAAATCCAAATATGGTATAACTCACCAAAATTGTTCTATCTCTTTTGGACAGTTGGCAATTTTATCAGCTAATCGTTCAATTGATTTTATCAAGAAAATCTGCCCACGAATTTCACATTGTGCTTTTCTGCATTCAATGAGTTCCGTAGTTTTCTGCGCAACAAATTCAGCAGACTGCTTCACAGCCTCCGTGTTGCTACAGAAATCATGCCATATCGTCTATAAATAAAAACCATTTTTGAAGAATCTTGTTTTCTACCAAGTTAAAAATATAAACAATTATGTACCTTGTTATTAAATCTTTTCTCTCCAAAATAAGAGAAGACAGTAATAATAAAAAAATAATGCTCCTTTGTTATTTGATCTCTCTTTGGATAGGTAAAAATCACTTCAATGTCTTTAGTCAGTTTATCGATTGTTTCCTTCAAGCCTACAAGATTCGATGACAAATTCACAAAATCAGCATAATCATCATTGATGAGTTCAATCATCGAATTTTGCACAATTTTTAAATAAACTCGTAAATCGTTATGGATTTGCTGTAGACTTGCTCGTCGTCTAGCCAATTTTAGAAATCGTTCCACAATAAAATCTGTCCGACTGAATTGGTCCTAAAACAAAATACTTCTTCTGGAAAGCTGTTTACCCATTGATTATTAGTTAACTTCAAAAATCACTTCAATATTTCTGCTTCATTATTACTTTATTATGGTAAATAGAAGACATATAAACTCTGCCGTGCTCCCACAATATAAATGTAGTAAGTGAAGGATAAAAATTCAACGATTAAAAGGCATAAATAACGGAAAAACGCTTGCGTGAAATGCTTGCATGGAATGAGAATAAACATAATTTATGTAATTTTTGCCCATCCAAAAATGATTTAATTATGAAAAGCTTTGGGCAGTAGGATGAAATTATAGTTGCTCATAACTTTATTTACACTATTCCAATACCTCTTTTTGCAGATACAAAGAGCAAAAACAAGTTACAATCTTGAGATATAAAATTAAGGCCAATACCTTATTAAAACAAAGATGAGATTCAGTCAAAAAATTTGATTGTGATGCAAAAACTGCATGATTAACCTTTGTACTTCCACCAGTGGATGTTACCGTCGTCATTGTTTCCATTACTATAAAATATAAAATAAAATGTCATAGAACACATAAAAGAATGTCCTCTTATTTCACTATGTGAAAGGAAACAAGTGCAAATCGTACTGCAATAACTAAAGCAAAAAATAGAAAAATCTATGGAACATTTTATACACAAACTGATGATCAGTATTACAAACAACTCAGAAAAGTTCTAGTCTTACAGTTTGAGAAAATAATTCAAAAGCACTTCAAAACTTTGACAGCTTTATCCATCCACAAAACAATTTACAAACTTATGGCACACAGCACTAAATTTCATACTTCTTATCCTGTATTTGACATTTACTCTCTTGAAACTACAAGCTGACATAACTTAAGTAATTATATGAGAATAATGTTAGTAGTGGTTATAAATTAATTGTCGATTGCTGATTCGGAAGCTCAGGTTATAGACAATGCAGTCATTCAGAATGAACAGTTCAGAAGAAAACCACAAGTGTTCACTCAGTTGGGAATTCGTGATGTACCTTAACATACTTCCATCTTGTAATGGACAAGTGAACTCGTTTAGTCATGGATCGTGAAATATTTAAATAATAATATAAATACTAGAAAATATATGAGTGTCTCAGATTGTAACAGAAATGGACTTAGTGTCAACGACTGACCTTCGTTTCTTAAAGATGGCTCGTAGATGCTTTACTGTAAACAACGTAGTCATTCTAAAGACTTTCTATACATGAAATAATGAAATAATGTCAATATATAAACAGAAATTTGGCCAGGACTTAACTGCAGATCAGAGGATGTAACAAATGTTTCTTGCAACATTCATGTCATAGTTAATAGATATGATGAGAAATAATTTCATCGTAATTATTTCCTATTTGAAAATATCGACAGAAATTTCAAGTTCTTATCAATAACAGGTACAAATAAAAGGAATTTGGATTATGGAATCGGAAAATATAATTAGTGGTTTTAAATGCTACATTCTACTGATATTATGTCAGCAATAAAGAAGAGTTAAAACCATGGAAGTAACTGATAAACAGCAGGTTGATATGTTTTCCACAGAAATAATTATTGTCTGATGGCTTTAAAGTTTGACAGTCTTCCCCAGTAACACAGCCAGGAGAAAGTACTGAGATGGATCGATGAAGCCACACTGACTCAGATAATGATCATTGGTGCATAAATTATCCAATAACGGAATTTATGGATAACATAAACGAACGAATTACGCTGCATGAAGGAATGTTTTACGCTGCACGGTGCATGTAAACGAAAATCAATATCGTTTGTTGGCAAAGCTGCATTCCGATAACGGTTTAAATTCCCACATTTTGTTAAACTTCGGCCTACTGCCGAGGTAATGAATTAAGGCGCTGGGTAACGATGTGGGTTGGGGTTTTTTTTTCTTAACGTGCTTTTCTCTTTAGAGGCAGCAAGGCTAAGTTTCCTACCCTTAAAATATACCAGTAGAACCATAGTAAAACATTAAGGTATGAGCGGTACCATTAATGCCAATGTGCTATGTCCACAGTAATACGTTCGTACGATAGTATCAGAATTTAGGTGACAGAGTGAACTGGGTGAACTAGAAGATGTCATTACTTAGCAGTGATTCGATGTGTGGTTTTTTGCTGCGACAGATTAGGAAAGTTGACTTGTGCAGAGTGTGGGTAGCACGTTGCTCATCCTCTCAAGTAATCGCTTCAAGTAAACCTTCAAAAGATCGACGAAAGGATGTAGATGATGTGATATCCCCACAACAACCACAGTCCGATTTCAGGTCGCTTTTCCATTTCATTTAGATTTAAAAATAGGGTAATTGAGATCGAAACTCTTTTTCTCTCTTTGCTGTCTAAACAAACAAATATTTTAAACAAAAAATAGGAAACGATTATAAAACAGTTTAAATAAGGACGAGAAGGAGTTGGCCTTGGTAGTTAATTTGGTTACGAGTTGTTTCTGGAGTATGGAGAGTTGGGGTTCGATTCCTTTAGTGTGTGCTGATCGGTGTGTAGTGTGGGCAGGTTTGGGCTCCAGCTTGCTGTGGCCTGTTCCTTCTCTCACTGGCGGAACATCGAACGTCCTCAACATAATGGGGCGAGTATTCGGTCCGCCATACCGTAAATTAATCCGGCCTACGTTGACACCTGGCGAGAGGCAGTCCGGAAAGTGGTGTGACCGCTGCATATTCCTTCTCGTGACATAGCTCTAAGTGAGCAAGGACAGTTGGGAAAAACCATGCAGTGAACAATCCTTTTAAAACTGTTGCAAATCTTTAAGTGGTCGTTCCAGAATTAATTTACGGTATAGTTATTATCTGTATCCAGAATATGTTTGTGATGTTCCCCTAGTAAATTTATCCGTGGATGTGTCAGCACTAACCCATGTACTATTCCAGAGTTACCAGTGGAAAGCCTTCTAGTTGGATTGATGTAAATCGAGAAGAAGGACGTCAACCAGGTACTTTTCGATCTCGTAACATTGGTTTGGACCGATTTTTTGATACTCAACGTCGGCATGAGAGACTTACAGCACGTGATCAGTGGGCTCGAAGAAATGTTTTATCGGATCGTTATAGAAACTCTGGAGGTGTGTGTTTTATATATGCACACTCGTTTGCATTCAGGTTGCCACAAGTAATTATGCAACAAGTAGTTACAAGCAGGATTCATCAAAATTAATTTGTCATCTGTTTTTCCATTTCAACTTTTTTATTTTCTTGTATTTTAAGGATCATGGAATAAAGATGTGGAAATGCCAAAAGTCGATTATAAACATCTCAATTTACCACCCATTCAGAAGAATCTTTACAAGGAAAATCCTTCGGTTACAGACAGAAGCGAGGTATCATTTTTGTTGAAATGCATTGTTACCTTTTTTTCATCGTCAGTGTGCTTAGCATCTTACAGTTCATTAAAGCAAAACGGAACTCTAATTGAAAATTTTAGTCAAGAGGAATAGTACGGAAGTCTGTTTGGTGTGGTGGTGAGTGGGCGCCAGACAGGAACTAAAGATTAAAGTTCAATTCTTCAGTGGAGTAATTAACTGTGTGGCATATAGGAACCATGTGTGATGTGTATGCCACATGTGGGCCGATAAAATGCCAAAATCAAATCATTGTATAAAGGTCGCAGGTAGAGAGGTCAGAAGTTCTCTTCAGGCATTACCCAAGCAGTGTACAGTCGCATCCCCTGTTTTCCTGTTCAGAAGTGTCCAAATTGCAACATTTATTGTTCCTGGATTTTAATCACATTTGGTTAAATTTAAAATAAATTTAATTTTTGATCTTCAGAAAGAAATAGTTGAGTGGTTTACGCATAATGAAGTCACGTTAAAGGGAAATTCTTCTCCTCGCCCCATTTTCGAATTCAGTGAGACAGGTTTTCCTCCAGCAATTATAGAGAAGCTCAAAAAAGCGTGCTTTGAAAAACCGACTGTAATACAATCGATATCTTGGCCAGTTGCGTTGACCGGACATGATATGATTTCGATTGCTAGAACAGGCTCGGGGAAAACTTTAGCAGTGAGTTCATGCATCTGATTTGAAAAATAGCGTATTATTTAATGAATATTTTTCTGAAAATTGATTTTAAGATCTTTGGAAAATTAATTGGTGTGGCAAATGAACAAGTATTTCTATTGATTTTACTGTTTTTTTTTTTTTTTTTTCATATTCAAAAATTTCTGTACACACGAAAGCTTCCTCACCGTTCCTCAGTTTTTCTAGAAGTCCAAAATTTTAGTATACTTTACCGGGGATTGTACATATGCAAAACCAAGAACAGCCGGAAAAAGTCCGAGGTCCAGCAGTGCTTATCTTAGCACCAACAAGAGAGTTGGTGCAACAGATAAGCTCAATGGCGATGAACTTTCACTCTAAAATAGCATGTGCTTATGGTGGTTCTGGACGGGATCAGCAAGCTAGAACTATTCGCGAAGGTTGGTTTGTTTTACCTGAAATTCGGTATGTTTCGATGGAATTGTTAGTTCATTATATGTAAAATATTTGCTAATTAGCTTGTAAGAAAATGCTTTGTCAGGGTACCATAAGCACATGTTTTTTGTCTCATTATACGCACTGATGTGTCATAAAAATAGTAGGGGAAAGTACACAACAAAAAGTAGGCAAAAAGTTATTAAAATACACAACAACAAAAGTTAGAATTTATGGATTATATTGATCTGGGAAGATATGATTTAGTAGTTTTGTATGAAAAATGTTTTTTTTTTTTTTTTTTTTTTTTCAGGAGTAGACATTTTGGCTGCAGCTCCAGGTCGTTTATTGGATTTCTTGATTGCTGGTGTTTTGAATCTAAATCGGTGCACTTATTTAGTATTGGATGAAGCTGATCGTATGTTAGACATGGGTTTCGAACCACAGATACGTAGAATTGTATCCATGATTAGAGTGAGTAGTTTGATTTTAGATTTTAAGTGAATTATTGAAGTACAGTTGAAGAGATTCTTTTTTAGCCGGATCGACAAACTTTGATGTTCTCAGCGACATGGCCAAAGGAAGTGCGTACTCTAGCGAAGGACTTTCTAAGTGATCCCGTATTCGTTAATGTTGGATCATTGAAACTTGCCGCAAACAGTAACATCATACAAATGGTCACGGTTGTTGAAGAAAATGAGAAAGAAGAAAAGCTGTTAGAGTTTTTAAATAGGACGTCAAGCGAGGTTATTTTTAAAATTTTGCAGTTGTTTCGAGGCTTGGCATTACTTACTGAAGCTCATTACTATTTATTTCTCATTATATAGAAAATAATATTTTTTGATATGCTCAGCAACACTGCAAAACATTGATTTTTGTTGGTATGAAACGCACAGCGGATTGGTTAACACGACTGATTCGCAAGAAAGGATATCCAGCTTTGAGCTTACATGGTGATAAGTCCCAAACAGAACGAAATTTTGTCATGAACGGTGATTTCAATATTTCTTGTAAAATGAAAGTGATTTTAATTTGAATTATATCACACCTTAGCATGATTCGGAAATTTTTTTCTTTTCGTTATTATTAAAATCTGTGAGCGGATGTCAATAGGAGAATAGATTACTTCGTTTGAATGATTAGCAGCATGAATGTTTCAAGACACCCATGTTTTGATGCAGCCATAGTGAATGATCAACTACTTCTGGTTTGTTTGGGAGATCTTTCCTATATTTTAGATTTTAAAAATGGTGAATGTTCGATTCTAGTCGCAACAGATGTTGCTGCTCGCGGTTTGGGTAAGCATTAATGTTTTTTGTTTCGTTAGCTTCCATAAATCTTGATAATCAAAGTAATGACTGTTTTGTTTATAAAAGATTGTTTCAGACGTAAATGACATTAAATATGTCATCAATTTCGACTGTCCGAAAAATATTGAAGATTACATACACAGAATTGGAAGAACTGCTCGCCATGATAAAACTGTATGTCTTTCTCTAACATTTTAATCTAGTCAGGTAACGCATGCAAACAATCTTTTTAATTTGTTGTACAGAAGGTGGATAAATTCAAAACTTCTACTTTGATTTTAATAAAAAAATTTTAAATGATCTTTGCATTGTTGTTTTCGTCAGGGTACTTCATACACCTTGTGCACACGCAGTGATGCACCTATAGTTAACGAACTTGTCAGTGTTTTGAAAGAAGCCAAACAAACGGTTCCATCAGATTTACTGGATCTTGTTAGCAGACATCCCACAAAGTCATCGAGAAAGTTTGTTTTTTTTTTCCTCTCTTTCAGTAGCTCAGACTCATGATTCTGAAAGAATCTTCATTCGTAAATGTTTTATATTCGTAAGTTTATCTATTTGTTAGTTCGATTAGATTTTCCAGTATGTTTTTGATTTGTTTTAGAAGATTCTAATCAGTGGTATGTCCGAAATCAACTGAGTACAACATAATTGCTGTACTGACTAACAACCGACGATGTTTATTGAATTTTCTTTTGTTTTGTGTTTATGTTAACTGTTATGACTGTGTGACAACAGTAATAAAAATATTTTGCCTTTCTCCTGAATCAGAATCCTGCAATGCCCGTATACAATAAACTTTTTATATTTTTATTCGATATAACCTCCAGTAACTTTCACAGGCAATATCAGCAACCACAAAATAGGACAGATTGTTTCCATCTCTTTATGATATTCTGCGTAGTATGCCCACAATTAGATGCTTTTAGTTTTTAATGTTCTGATAAGGCATTTATTATTAGGCATATTGGCTAATTCATTCGTTGTAAACCTTGAATATAACAGATTTTGATGGCACGCCTTATTATGATTCAACATCCTTGGAAAGGAAGATCGAAGGGTACTAGAAAATACCTCGAAAATTTTATAAGTTGATTAAAAATATTCTTCTAGGCTTACTAGAGGAATCAGAACTAATGGTTTGTTTAAATAACAAAAATAAAACTACCCCGCGCATACGATAATTTTCAGTTTTTACTAAAAACTCAACTTTGGTCTGTCTCTCGCTTTCTTATCCAATGTAGGTTCCTTTCGATATACAATGCAGTTGGAGCTCTCATGTTTTTGGAAAATGATCCCATATGTAAATAACCTTAAAATATATGTATACAATTCTCAACAAGAATGGGGAACAATCATTAACATTAACTTGTTGGAAAGAAAACATTCTGTTGGCATATGAGAAGCAGTGTTCTTGAGAAATAAAGGGAAACTTCTCTACGACAAATTTTATACAGAATTAAAATCATTTTTTTTTTCAATTAATTGTTAACTCGTCCACTTACTTGTTTAATTGTAACTAAGGAAGGCTTAGTATCTACAAGAATCTCTCTAATGGAGCAAAAGTTTAACTCACCTGTTCAGTTATGAAGCTGGTGCTGTTGATCAGTTAGAGGAACATATATTACACCCATTAAGTCTTTTTGCGTTACATTACCGTCAGTATCCTTGTCAACCTGTACAAACCGCTGAGGACCACCTTCAGGACCGACCGGAATCAGCATCCTTCCACCTTTAGCAAGCTGCTCTATTAACTGTAATACCGTGTTTATTGGAAGAAAGTTATGTTCAAAACATTGCCAGTTTCAGAAGGGTTAAAATTCGTAGGAAATGAATGAAACAAGTTTCATTATTTGTATAACTGAAACAAATTTCATTATATATTGCAAAACCACATGTTTTTTTTTTTTTTTTTGTTATGGAGACATTATTTGCTCATGAATTCCTAACTCCTAAAATAATCTCTTCTGATATTTACAAGGTAACATATAGATCGAAAGCATATATCAATAAATGTTTTTGGTACTTTACATTTTCGGACGTAGAAATGTTCCCAGAAGTCATAACAAAAAAAAAAAGAAAAAAAATTTGGCTTTAAAATACTTAAAGTTCAGTCCAAAATAAACATATTAAAATTGAATCATTTTGTCTGTTGTTTTAGTACTTAAATGAATACGACCTGAACAGGGATTTCAGGTGCAGCAGCTCCGACATGAATAGCATTATACGGTGCTTCTTTTGCATAACCTTTCCTACCATCTCCTTGTACAAGAATTATGCGGTGATTAGTGAATAAATCTGCATGATGTTTCATGATATTACGCCTTGAATCATCCACCAAAGCTTGAATATGATCTATGCCAACTACTTTTCCTGTTTTACCAACCTAAAAAACTGCCACATCAATTTATAAACAGCGCATAAATGATTGTGGCCTATTATTGTAATTATTTTTTGGAAAATTTGTGAGAAATCTAACCATTACCGCCATACAGGCTGTTAAGTAACCGGAACCTGATCCTACGTCCAGCGCTCGATTCCCTTCTTTCAGATGATCCTTCAGAAGCTCTAGTGAAGACGCATGCTAAAATTTCGCTTTTTTATTCATTTTGACTATTGAAACTTTTTGTCAGAATCAATACTGCTTTTTAGAAACATTTCAAATTGAATATTAAAAAAGAATACCGGTTATTCTCACAAAATAATTTCTTCATATATTAATTACTACTAACACCACAGAAAACTTTTTTTTAAAGAAAAAAAACTTATTCGTAAGTTTTTCCTTCTTCTTTAGTCAACGGAAAACCGGAATCGAAACAGAATCAATTACCATATGCGGGGCACTAATCGTAGCGCCGTAACCGATTGAAACGGGATGATCGCCGTACGGCGTTATAGCTGTGAAATCAGCTCGATCCACCTTCAGCATAGCATCTCTTACACGCTTATCCTTGAATAAATTATTGCCTAAAAGTTGATGTATTATCTTGATAACAAAGAAATGAATTACAGTAATTGTAATATGACAATATCTCATCATAAAAAATACATTTATCAAACCGATTTGTTGTCAGCTGTTAATCAATTCACGCTACTAATTCTTACTTTGTCATCATGAATTTTCCCGGTGCATTATTATTGATTTTTAGAGTACAAAGTACGAAAACGGAAAGCAAATTTAAGATAGCATTTCCCTACTTTTAAAGTAAAAAATAGCAATTACTCTGTAAATTATTGACCAAAGCAACATTCGAATCGGCACCGGACATCCAAGCCATTGCGTTTCTTATGTTGCGAGTAAGTAGTCGTGTAGCATCCTCGAATATCTTCATTTTTCTGGATTTTATTTGTTTCTCTCTTTCTGGGTGTAAATTTTCACCCTCTCTTTCCTCTCCTGCAGAAACTGATTCAATGAATTCTTCTCGACTACTGCTCAACCTCTGTCGTTCTTTACTGCAGAAGTTGTCCTTTAAGCTATCGCAATCAGAAGTGGAAACAAACACAGCCAGTAGTACACAATTAGCAGTAATTAGCATAAATAAACAGAACCAAGGAGACATTGATGCCACCAGAAGTCAGCCAATTTTAGCTAACAATAGCAGAGTGCAGGTAATTAAACTAGGAAATGAAACCACCGTCCAATTTTATTTCAAAAAACAACACTCTGCTGTTTTCTGCTTTCGTATCTCTTTAAAATAATTTCTCTGCTTGTGTCTTCGCTCTCTTACAACAGGTGGCAGGCAAAGCTTCTGCACAACACTCAGTGCAGCAATAGCAGACAGTGGAATGCCTGAATGGATGGTCGGTCGATCGAGAGAACAGGCTGCTATGAAGGCGGTAAGTGGTAGGCGCTTTAGACGAAAGACTATTTTAATAAGTCGTCCCTTACCTTTTATAAGTAATTGAGAATAATGAATGTATCAAACTAATCTTTCATTTAATGGCGCTATTGCTAGAACAGATCTGCTTGGAGGAAGGAACTGTTAAAGAGTTTTGAAATATATTTTTGTAAAAAATATTTTTTTCTAATATTTCTGTAAGAAAAGAATGATTATACACACATCAACGCAATCAACAGGAGAATGAAATACTAAGGATGATGATTCATCGGATGTCATGACACGTTCTTTTCACTTCGATTAGGAATTAGAACGTGGGAAGAGTTCTAATAGCATTTGTTCTTTTTGAAAAGGAAAACGGGTAGAGGAGATTGAATGTGATAATGAATATAATTAAGGCGAGGAACTAGGTGACAGAGATATAAATATAGATAAGGGAAGAGATGTGAAGGAAAGTATTCTTTCTTCTCTGAGGAATTTTTCTGAAGCCGTGAGAAATGTTTGAGAACAACCAAAAGAAAGTGAAAATGGAATAAGTTATTTGGCATGTGTTAGGAGACGTAGTAGTACGTCTCGAAATTGCGTCATATTTTGCGTGACACAACTGTTATGTTGGTGGGATGGTAGATTGATTCATTTATGCCACCAACACTCCGTCCCACGTGGACACGATTTCTCTTAAGATGTATACAATGAATAGTAATGTGCACGTCACTGCTCATTTCAACAAAAGGTCAAACTATCAAACATCGATGCTTTAAAGTTATCATTCATAGGAAATGAGAAACTTGAAGTGTCAAACGAAACACATCTCTTCCTTTATTTATTGTCTTTCGAAAGGCTTCATGTGACACGACGCTTCAGTAGTATTTTATTCTGCTTTTGTATGAGACATCCGTGACAACAATGGAATTATACTTCATAGGATAACATCGAAATGTGAGGAGGGAAAATTTGTTGTACATAAGTATTAAAATTTTGAAAGTATTAAAATTATTTTTGCCTTTGTTTGAAGTTTACAGTGTGTAAACGATTACAAATGTGAGCGCAAATAGTTTTCGCATGCTATGAACCTTTAACTCATCTCAAATTATGATGAAGTGCTTTTTCATGTGCGCTCGAAATTGATCTGAACTACTTTTTAAATGCGGTAGGTTTGCTTAGAAAGTTTTGGCCACAATCTTCCTATTTTACTTATATTCCACTAAAATGATGGAAAATCAACGAAATCTTGTTAATTACTATTTTCTAAGAACTGTTTGTAAAAGCTCGACATTTAAGCTAGGATCAGAGTTACAACAAAGGAAGGAATTCTAAAAAGTGGGATGTCTTTTTACTTTTCGTTCTTTTCAATTTCTGAAGCATTTCCTGTGATACCTTCGATATCGCAGCTTCGCTGAATAAACATTTCTACAAATCTTTAAAATCTATTCGGCTTTTCTCAGTATTAGTTACAGCTACCATAAAAAAGGTAATTCTGTCTTGCAAAGAAATATCACTCTCAAACTTATATGTCTTTTTTATGCTAATTAGTTCAAATAGAGCCTTCAAAAAATAGCTGAGTGGTTCATTGTTTACGCATCCTTTTTATCGGTTCTTTCAGTAATTAGAAACATACCCGATTATACTTAATGAAGGCATCGTTGATAATGGAAAGTACGGGAACTACGACGTTGTGATAACACAACTTAGCCATCCCCGTTTGCGGTAATGCTAGAAGCATTAAAAATAACATCTAAATAAAGTAATATTACATATGAAATCTTTTCGAAAACTTATTATGCTTGTTAAACTTCAAAACAAAAGCTAAGAAATTTTCAAAAAAAAAAAAAGTATAAAATGAATCTCTGCTATTAGTTTCGTTATTAGATTAATTACAACCTTCAGTAAAAGAAGTGGCGAGAAAATTTTTGTTAACCACTCCGTATAGTAATCTTGAAGTGTAAAAAACGAGAATACAATCCAGTAGATAAGCCAATGCTCACGTTGCTTGCGTGCTTTATTCTTGTGAACGGTTAAAGACTGCAAAACTTCAAAAAATGCTTAAATAAAGAAGAGAAAAGTGATTTTTGTCAAGAAATTTTATTAAAAATGTTAGAAAACATAAATCCTCATAAAGGTCTCTTTAATTATATCTTAGCTTATGAAATTTCGATTGTTTTTCAACAAAGCAACTTTGTTGCAAGTCTCATAAGTTTCATGATGTCATCTCTTTCATTACTTCTTCATCAGTCTTCTGATTTGACTTTTTTCCAAATAGAGAAAAATATGTGGGAGTAGGAAGATTGCTGAATAAAATGTATGAGAAAAACTTTAGTCTACGGAGATCTTTGATACCTGATATGTCCCATAATTGATCTTGGATAAATTAAAAATCAAAGGAAATTTTGATAGACAAACCCTGGCAGTTTCGTATGCGGGATAAAGACAGCTAACTATGCTGCATAGTAATGGATCAAAATTCTCTAGCAGGACAAATGCAATTAGCAGAAATATTATTGCATAGAATATCTGCAAATTAATATTTTTGATGGAAAACTGGCAGATTACATCAAATCCTATCAAAATATTATATTACTGACTAAGGTACGAGATGATAGCTGGCTCAATCGAAGTTCTCTCATATTATCATAAATATATATATATATATATCCTACCTTATCTGATAATGCTCTATCTAAAGGACAAACCTGTTCTCTTCTAACCGTTGTTTTGCTTTCTACGAAACAGAATACCTTATCCATGTAAACATAATTTTTGTTGTAAAGGATTTTATTGAGCAGATACTGATGCCATATTTTCAGCGGTTTTCCTTTTTTGAAGAAGTTATTTTGGATTGTGACGACAATGTCGACTACAGAACTTTGTAATGCTCTTTCTGATGAGTGATCAGACTGTTCTTCAAGTTCATTCATATATGCTGTTGAGTTCCGGCTGCTCATACTTACTTTGCTGACAGTACTACTGGCAGATGAATTTGATAATTCAGTTTCGGTCTTATCTTTTTCAGCCATTCAGAAAGTAGTGATTTGCCTTAATACTCTTGTTACTTGTTGACAAATAATATGGACATATTAAAGATTGAAGATTCTTATAAATGAAATATTCTGCAATTAGTAATTCAAAATCATTTATATTTACAATTTTCAAATCCTAAAACGTGAGAGCAACTGGGAAAATAAGCGATCGGAGAAGGAATGCAACTGTTTGTTATCCTTTGCAATTTATATGCTTGCTTTATTCATGCAAATTGTAGATTAAAATGATGAAATGGGATTTTTTCTCAGTGAAAAGTATTTCTTGAAATGATTTTACAATCACTGAAAAAAATTTTGAATCTTAAGCCTCATCCGATTCTTTTCGTTGGAACGAAAATATTGTGTCTCAAAATACCTCCTAAATTTTGTAATTTAAAAGACTCTCAAGAAAATTTTTTTTTAAAAAAAAAAACTGAAAAAGAAAGCAATTTGCTGGAAAATAATATTGTTTCCCTTATAATCAAATGAAGATCAAGAAATTGAACTTGATGAATAGTGCTGGTTCTAAGTCTGAAAAGAATTGAAAATGAATAATGTAGAATATATCGTTCCTTGCGTTAAAAATCATTCTTCAATTCTTGTTAGTAAGATTGAATAAAACTTTGCAGAACAGAATTTGTTAAATAATTTCAACCAGAAGTAGTAATTATATATGTCGCTATTGACGCCTATCTCGATTAGTGAATAATAAAGCCTTGATAAAATTCAGCATTTTTGATTCCTTGCCATCTACCAAATTACCGATGTAAACAAAATTGATTATTAAGATTTTATTGACAAAGATGATTATTTCAAAATAACTTAGTGGTTTATTTCATGAAACCTCATATCATCTTATATGATATATTCGATCAATGTTGTTAATTTCACTTCATCTCTTCATGAATCTGTGATAAATAGTTCTTACTAGCAAACTTGAGCAGTCGAAAATAATAGTTGTGAGTGCGGCATAATTATATCTAAGCAATACTTCATGCGCTTAATACTCTTTCCTACAATTACATTTTGTTAAATAAAACTCTTTATAATTCTAAAAAATTTTTATGGATGTAATCATTTCTTATCCAAAAGCTAATACAATTGGGTTCGTAGACAGACTGAAAGAATGAGTTGCTTTAAATTAACCTAGAATTCCAACTTCTAATTTCTCATAAAATTTAAAGTGGAACTGTTTGATCTATCCTAAATCCAACAGTTTCATCGTTTGACTATGCAATATTATAGAACAAAAAATGTTTTATAGCAGTGTTGCAGTTCATGGAAGTAATTTGATTCAAATTGTTTCAAATGTGAAAGTAAACTATGTGTGACCAGGTGATAGTATATTTGTTAAAGTTGGATCAGGAAACAAGAAGCTTAAATTTGTCATCAAACGAAAGAGAATAATGTAATGATAGATAAAGATATGTGTAGGTGACATTCTGGGTTGTGACCAGATACGGGCTAACTGTCTACTTATTCTCTTCGACTTATTTTTAGTCCAACTCATCCTTACTATTAACATTGAAGAAAACTGTAAAGAAAAATATGTTTAGTAAAATATATTTATCTCCTTTACTGAATTTTCCTTCATAACTAATCGTTTTAAATACTCAATATGAAATTCAAAACGGACAAATAAAAAAAAAAGCAAAAAGTCATTTATACATTTCTGTTTAATACTTCATCCTCACAAGAAAGTAGTGATGTGTTTATCAGTCCTTATTCAGTATTCTCATCAAAATCATCGAAAAGATGGCCAACGGTTATTGACGGGACAAATCGCGGTGGACGTTCTCGACGTTATAGTGCTACAGAAGGAGAAGACAAGTACTGGCGGCAAAGGTGACATTTGAAGATGTGATCTTAGTCGTCCTAAACCACTGAGACGTTTTAGTTCAACTTTGTCTCCTTGATTTTTCTATCCTTCAATGTTAACTATTATAAATGTGAATGAGAAATTTATCCTGTACCTCACATATGCTCATTTGCCCATTTGAATAGTCAAAAGCGCCCCAAAACGTTCATAGTAGGTGCAGTATCATCTTGGAGTGAATGTTAATAATTCTGTGGCATTTATTGCTGTTCTCGTCTTTTTTTTTTCTTGTGTCTAAAAATCTTTGAAATAATTCTTTTAGTTGTTGCTAATATTTAATTTTGATATATCTGGAAGGGGAAAGAATGTTTTAATCCTAAGCGGGAATAGTGACCAATGAGTTAGGAACATATCAGCAGTTACTGGTTAGTCTTGGTATTTCTACAGGTTTCCAGATTATGCTAGTTTTATACTAGTTAGTGCATAGTTAGAGGTGTGATGTTGCTTAGAAAGGATAATATAGAAAAGTTCCAACTGATTAAGTATCATCTACAGAAAGGAAAGTGAAAGTCTTAAATGGTAAATAATTTCAGATAAGAATATAGTCCAAATATGGATAAAATCCTGTGTAGTGGCAGATCCCGTAAAATTCTTAAAGAATACGGCGAAAACAATCATTTCGCGATGACACTGATTGAGAAACAGAACCAATTGGGTACTTTTTTTCACTTCATATTTTCTGTTATATTGCGAAATGTATTAATGCATGAAAAATATTTCAGACATGTTGAAAGTGCTTGACTTACTGGAACAAATGAGACATAATTGGAATTATGAAAAAATAAGAGCAGAAGCTATGGAGAATGAGCTTGACCAGGGGAATAAAGAAAAAGAGTAAATTTTTTTTCCAAAATCTCGGAAATTATGCAAGTTTTATTGGTTTTTAAAGTTATTAGATGTTCAACACGTTTTATTTTGTATTCTTCGCTCTACACTGCACAATTTGTTTTTCTCTTTCAGTTGTTTTTTATTGATTTGCTGAAGATTTTGAGATGTTATGAGTGCTACTCATTTTTCGCTACGTTATTTATGAGGTTTGCACTCATAAAATGCGAGAATTCCTATAATATATGAATACTATTGAACACAGCCTATTTTAGCGGATTGCGAAAAGAAATTCGGATGTACAGAGAGCAGCTTCGTGATGCTCGAAAACAGATCGCAGCTCTAATGTCTGACAAGAAAAGCATGGAATATGATATTGGAGAATGGGAAAGGAAATTCGAACTTGTAACTGATCTTCTGAAGGTCACTTTTTTATTATAGTTTCTTCAATTTCTTCAATGCTATCGGTGAAGTTAAGAATTCATTTTATTTGAAAGCATCTCTTGCATTTTCTTAAAAATGATTGTTTTTTACAGGACCAATCACATCTAAGCATGGAAGATCGACAGAAGTTGTTTGCAAATGGAAGCATTTTAAATAAAAAGCCTACGAAATTACAAGAAACTCGTGATACACATCTAAGTTTTTCGCACTGTTCTTCAGATGAGGGAAATATAGACTATGATAAAACTGCTGATATATCTGATAATTCATCAGATGAAACGGATGAATCACGTTTACGGAATGGAAAAGTTTACAGAAGGCGAGTGATGACTATTTATTTCGACTCAATTTCAGTAGTAGAATTAATTGGAGAATACTTTAAATTTTGTTCGTTCCTCAAGTTTAGGTCACGTAGCATGGTTTCGCTGACAGCAAAACGTATCTCAGCAGTGGCCAGCAAACGACCAAAGAAAAGCATGTTGATAGATACTGTTGAAGAGGAAGTGGTAAGCTTCAGTGAAATTTAATGATATGCTTTCAAAGAAGTTGTAATTACTGTTCTATTTTTAGTACGCCTATTGCTTTAATATCACTGCAATGCTGCACTTAATTGTAACATTCTAAATATTCAATGAATTTTAGGAAACACCTTCTAAACGATCGAAAAATGGAACAGAAATAATGATCCCAATGAATACTGGGAACAATAATTCACCTACAACTAAAATAGCTGTTAAATGTTCAATGAATAATCGTTCATTGTCTAATATTCTCAATGTTCGTGAAATTACTATATTGATTTCACTGTCATTTGTCTCTAATTCAGAACGGTGGAGTCTATTGGCAAATTAAAAAGGTAAATCAAATAAAACATTATTGTTTTTAGAAGTCAGAAGAGACGATGACACAGCCAACAAATACATTGACGCCACGATGTGGAACAAGTTCAACTGATCTGTTAGTTTTTTTATTTTTGCATCTGAAGCTGTATCCTATGGGACATGCTTTCTGTATATTTATCGAGCGTCATGTTTTTTGTGACGTCACGTGATGATTGACATCGTCTATAGCAGAGCTGTTCCTTAACAAAAGCAGTATTGACGTCTGTAACATAAGAATGGAAAACGAGTGAATATAAACAATCATAAGTTATTTTTCACAAGAATTTTATTGCACAGAAACTGAATGAACCAATTTTTTTTTGCATGTGGATTTCACTGCTGATGGCTTTTTTGTCTTAACAAATCATTTCCTGCAGTTTTTCCATAATCTCGCTAACGACAGATTGTGCCGATTATTCACAGATGCACTTACAATAATCAGTTACTGAAGATATCTTACATCTTTTCAAAAAATAGAGCAGATTTTTTGAATAAACTAAATAAAAATTTTCCACTTCATCACACTGCTCGTTGATTTTTCTGAATGTATTGGAACGCGCTCTTTCCTAATCCATCCTTAGCCTAAAAAGGAGTTTTAACTTAGATAAAATCATGCTGGGAACCAAGAAGAATTTTCAAACCTGTTTTGAGCACATCTAATGTTTATAAAATACATTATAGCGAGAACTTTTTATTAATTTCCAAGAAAGAAGGATGAAGAGATGGAACTATCCTACTTTTGCATATATTAGATAGTAGTGGTAGTTTGCGCTTTAGATTTATGGGCATTATTTGCGCTATTTATGTCAATAAAGTAGTGGATTTGTGGTTTCAAGCTCAACAACGTTTATATTGGTTAATTCTAATGCTCTTTATTAATATCTGTTTACCCAATTATGTAATATCCACATAAGATATAATGCATATATAAATATATTGAAAGCTGGAATAGTCCGCAAGAATAAAAGTATAAGAAGAATTCATAAGACTTATCACAGATTTTCTTTTTTGCAGTGCTAAATTTATCTTATAAATTTTTCTCTTTGATGAAATCAAGATTCTCTATTGCAAGATTCTTAAACTAAACTGATACTTTTCGCAGTTCATTTCATAGTACGTTTTCGTTCTTCATTTTTGCGAAAAGATACCTGGATGTAACTTTTATTTCAGAAAATAGTTCTTCAGATGTTAATTTTTTAACGAAAATGTTTGTACAAACCAAGATTGGTTTTAAATGTATGTAATTTAAATTTAAATTTATGTGAAAATATTTCAAAGGAGAACTCCACTCAGTGGCACGAAAACGTGGACTCGTGGTGCATCAATCTCGACACGCCCACATACATATACTAATCATAGCTCAATTCTTGGCGATCACTGCGAAGTGTGTAATGGATGGATTGGGATTGTCGGAAAACAGGCTTACAAATGCTGTGGTAGTCTTTGTGATTTTTTTATAAGCAAATTTGTTTTGAAAAATTGTTCATGACATCCTACATTAAAGTTAAGGGAACGAGTTGGTTCTGTGAATGTGTTATTGAAGTTCCACAACACTTTTTAATTATGTATTTTTTACATTCATAACACTTCTTCAGACTGTGGCTTGCATATTCATAAATCATGCATCCATAATGCGCCTGTGCCTTGTGTGCCACGAACTCCAACATCTCGCACGCCTAGCAAGCAGCGTCCACGCTTAAAGGATTTATGTCCTTCTACGCAGCCTATGATACCGCCAATTCTTATTCATTGCATTTTAGCTCTGGAAAAGAATCGATTATGCTCAGAGGGTATTTATCGAATCCCTGGGTAATTTGTTGAATTCCCTAATTTTAATTTAGCTTTAGAATTTTTTGTAGAAGCATCATTTAAAATAATTTAGGAAATCCCATATAAGACTTTCATGTTTGACCCATCTCTTATAACTTTTAGGGACGATACTCAGGTTCAGAAATTATTAAATGAATTTCAACATGGTCGCTCCGTTCCAAAATTGGACTATCAAGACACGGAAACAATAACAAGCTGCATTAAGCAATTCTTAAATAAGCTACGAGTTCGTTCGATGAATATCTTTTGGTTTCTCTTAATGAATTGGTTACTGAACATTCGTTAAATCGTGCAGATTTGCAGAATCCTTTAAATTTCTTTATGCTTTAACTTACAGGATCCAGTAATCCCAAGCACATCTTGGGAGGAATTTGTTAATGCTGCCCGAACAGATGATATTGAAGCTCTGAATAATGGAATTATGGATTTGCCTTATCCAAATCGAGATACACTGGCTTTCCTCTGTGCTCATTTTCAGAAGGTTTTTTGTTTGTTTGTTTGAAAATTACAGAATACAAGTATTAAGTTTTTGGATTTTCGAAACAAAGCAACTCCTCTTCATTGTATCACTTAACTTGTAATATCCCGCTACTTTTTTTTTGAAATGAAATTTTAGAACGGTGAGGAAACTCAGCTTTACTATGTTTTGATTCAGACCTCTTACTGGTTCATTTTTTGTTTTAGATTTGTGACAACTGCGTTCAAAACAAGATGCCTCGAAATGTCCTCGCACGTTGTGTTGCAGCAATAGTTGTAGGTCCAGCTCCTCCACATGTAGGAAAAGATGATGAAGAAAAAAAACAGGTTGCTGCAAGATTTTTTTAAATAAATTTTAATGATTTATTATCAAGGGAATTTTGTATCTCATGCACAACTGTGTGAGGGATGCGAAATGATTTTTTAAACATTTGAAAGAAGCGTAAGTTAAAAAAGGTAAAAAAGAATGGAATTATTTTGCAGATAACAGTTATGTCAGCCTTGCTCAAAATGCCTCCAGACTACTGGCCTAAGTTCTACAATTTTGACAGAGGAATACCACTGATCAATAGTCCCAAATGGTAAATAAAAATCTTATGAAAAAGCAGGACAAATTTTTCCTGTCACAATTCTCTCAAATAGTTTCGTTTTTTTGCGTGGATTGCAGAAAACATGTACCATGGAAGTATTTTTCAGTACATTAAATGACAACAGGAAACTTGGGAAAATCCCATACAAGAATCCAAATAGATCAATTCTGGGACCAGTTGAAACTCCACCATCTGGACAAAAAGCAAGTATCTATCAACCGAAAATATCAAAACGAAAGCATTTTCTGGGCGACATTTTTTGAGCTTAGTTTTGTTTGGTGTAATTTTTAAAAGCAATTTTGAAGATCTTGCGGTTTTGAAGTTTTTTTTTTTCTTTTTGAAGACTTAACGTTTGCTTTTTTGAAAGATAAATTGTAACCTTTTAAGAAGACATATAATAGCATCGATCTTGTTGATGACATATTTCTTTTAACGATTATGCATATTGCCACAATGAGATGCAACTTATCAACCTGTTCAAAAGAACACATTTCGTACTTACCTTGAATTTATTCCTTGAATGAGCTTAAAAAAAAATATTTTTACTGTGGTTTGCATGGGTTTCTCTTTAAATTAAATAATTAATCCCGTTTAATTGAGCTGAATGCTTTCGTAGTTTTTGATAGAATTCATTCTTATGTTAACTGAAATATAGATATATTTCATTTGAGTTTATTTTGAGAAATTTTTACAGAGAATTCTATACCTGACATACCATGTTATCACAAGGCATGAAATATCGAAACGTTATTCAAAAGCTCTTGAAATATTTGCTTTTATACTTATTCCTTCTTATTCTGATATTTTTAATGAGCACTAAATTGAATTTGATTCAGATTTTCAACTAAAAACCCAAGTTTACATGCTGATGTCAATCATTATTAGACATAAAAGTAAACATTTTGGTGATAATAATTTGGCCACTGAGTACGGTACTGAAATGTTTGATACAAATATATATGTTTTGTTTCTTTTATAACACATTCTCCAACGATTGTTACGCAATAACATTTTATGTATATTATCGCTCTTTTTATTACCACATATGATTCGTTTTTGAAAACACTAATGACACCTTATTGTGTGTACAATGATACTTAAAATGTAGTGCGCCTGGCAAAGTAGTGCTAGGTGCTTTTATGACATCAATAAAATATTTAGTGTTGGTAGCAGTTTCTTTTACAATGCAGCAGTGGTTAGTATCGACCTCTGATCCAGGAGAGTACAATAAAGAAAAGCAAACATGTTATTAATTACGCAAACAAATTACCAATCTCTCTACTGGGTTATCTGGACCGACATCTCTGCTTAGGGCTGCAACACGCACAGCTCTTAAATTTATGAACGGCGGGAAGATTGCAATGTGTTTTTAATGTCCGTTATTGTCAGGCTGTATGGATTGTCATATATTAATTAAACTAATACAACAGCTTTGACAATAGGTAGTGAATTGAGATTTTCAAACAAATTTATTCTTTTCTCATATCATTCTAGAAATATTTACTAATTTTTGATGTCAGTTTGTATGTATAGTCGCAAATATTCGTGTATGTTTTCATCGACTCATGGTTCATCTGAATATTTCCTCGATATATTTACTGGATATTTAGCATATCATGTCTTCTACTTGAGAAAACTATTGAATATGACAGTTCTCATCGTTTTTTTTTTTTTTGTTTTGTGGAAAAGATTGTTATCACATCGTTCTTTTTGTACTTTTGATTTAGCTAAAAAAAGTTTATATACTGTTGCAGAAAAGCTAAGAAGTGATGAATGATAATATTTGCCATGATAGATCTCGCATTGTCTTGAATGAGTATGCCGAGACAGTCGGTATTGCTAAATTTCTTGTTGAAGGACAAAGCACCTGTAAGTTTGTCGTCTTTCAAATGCAAACAGTATTAATTACATAACAGTAACATATATATGTAGGTGTTTCTACCTCGGCTACTTTTTTTAAAGGTACTATTGCTGTTTTATGTACTGAGCATTATTTTATTGTTCTACGTGTGATGTATTCTAAACACTGGAAAGCGACGAAACTCCTGTAATAACTACCAAAACTTTTACCAAGCTGATATTAAGGCAACTATATGGTTTAATACTTTGTCACAAAATTTGCTATTCCAGGGTAGTGTTAGAGGATTAGCGGTAGTTTTTAACTTATTTTATGAAAATTTTATTTTTTTTTAATCATTTTAAAGTTTTAAGTCAATGCCATGCAACTCATTACCAAAAATGAAAAGTTGGTGAACTGTCATTCTTCTATATAACTCTATGCTTTGTCACTTGTATTTTTTTGCTTCTTACCTTGTTTTTTTTTTTCGTTCTCAGTCAGCATAATTATTTAGAACTTTTTTTTTTTTTGATTAAATACCTAGTATTTGGAAATATTCAACATCTATTTCGATGTCTCTTTAGAGCCTGAGAATCATTTATAATATTCCTTTCAGGCACAAAATTTCTACATCTCCTTGATATAATGGAAAATATGCGTCAAAACTGGGATACTGAAAAATTGAGGGCAGATACTTTACAGGAACAAATGAATACTCGAGAACACGATTACAGGTTAGTCATTACCTAGCAGACTTCGATTTGAACCTGAAAATGCTATTCGTACGTATAAAGAATGTTTCAATTTGAACAAGCTAGAAATATAAATATTCGTAAATCATTTTGTATGAAATCCACTATAAAAATTAATTGGTAAAACTGATCTATTCAATAACGACTGGCTGACAAGTTGGTATAATGATTTTAAATTAAGTCTCTACTGATGTTCTCTGCTGAAGTTCATAGAATATTGTAATTAGTTTCTCAATTATCTCTTAATTTTTCCATTTCACTTGCTTATCCTTGAAAGTTTCGTACTACAAATATAATCTTTTAAGAAAATATTTGGAAAAATTGAAAACAACTGAAGACTGGATGAGTAGAAATCGTTAAAACTAAATATACTTTATGAATCGAGCATAATCATTAAATCGACTTATGCCTAATTTTGACACAAATTTTTGAAATTTTTTGTGAAAGTATGAGTTTTTTTTAATAACTGTGTGAATATATGTCACATCGTTTCCAGTGGGTTGCAACAAGAAAATCGGATGTATAAAGAACAACTTAGGGATGCACGTGCTCAGATTGCTACATTGATGTCCGATAAACAGAACTTGGAGCGTGACATGGTTGAATTGGAAAGAAAATTTGCGTTAGTTAACGAACTGCTGAAGGTTTGAACTAAATTGCATCTGAAATTCAATAATAAAGTGAACGGTATTTCTCATCTGTTTTCTCTAAACTTGAAATTCTGTTTCAGAATGACCAGTCATTACTAAAAGAGGAAGATCGCCAGAAACTATCTTTTTTGAACTACAAATCATCATTCCATGAACCACTTATGAGAGAAAGACAAGCACATCATATACTCCATGGTGTTTCACGCACGCTTTCACATGGCGAAGACACTGATTATGATAAGACGGCAGACTCCATGGACATTTCGTATGATGACTCTGATGAATCTCATTTACGAAATGGTAAAGTATATAGAAGGTGGGAAAATCTCTTTTAAAATCCTTTTGATTTCTATTTTCTATTTCACTCCTTGGTAGATGTTTTTATTTTAGAATATTTTGTAGGTCACGAAGCTTAGCCGTCCTTCCAAGCACCCATAGCTCTGCCGCTACTGTCAAACGTTCCAAAGAATCTAAAAGAATGAATATTGTTGAGGAAGAAATAGTAAGCTCTATAAATTTGCAAAAATCTTTCTGCATAGAAATGATGCTTTATTATTCATTGCTTTGTTGTTTATCTCGATATCTCTAGAACTGAATTAGATTTGCGGTATTCTCGCACTGTAAAGCTATACTAAATTTTTCTTTTCATTCTCCGATGGGTAGCAGTGCCAATTTTTTGTCTATTATTCTCACATAACTTTTAAGGCCACTCCATGCAAACGATCAAAAGATGGAACTGAAACAATTATTACAACGACAACAATAACTATGAATCCAGAAGGAAGACAACCAGCAACAGCTAGTGTCTCACTCAAACGTTCAAATCGGTCGATGTCAGAATCGAATATTCTGAATGTTTGTTTAAACCATTTGTTTTTGAATACCTTATTACAATTTTTCACATAAAACTCATTTCATAATATAGGGCTCTTTCTCTCATATAATTTGTACTTTCATTTGTGGAGTCTGTTTGGAGTATTGTAGACTGGACAGAGAGATTTGAATCTTCATGTTTATCGTTTTAGCAAAACGAAGAAGCCGTGGTTGAATCGACGACAAAATTTGGTGCAACCACACCACGATTTGGAGCCAGTGCTCTCGATTTGTAAGGATTTTTATTCTTCCAACCAAGTTTATGAAAGCAATTAGCAGTTAGTTTCCCATATGATTACAATCTTTCTAGAAATGTAAATAATGCTTTTTCTTTAAATGCAGTCCTCTCCCGTTTCATTATTTATTGTAGTTTTATTGAATAGTAATCACAATCGGATTATTTTTAAAAGGTGATTTGTTTTCTTTGATCAGATCAAGCAGCTAACATTCAGATACCAATCTGTCAAATCTAAAATAGAATGGAGGAAGTTGTTCCATTTGCAAAAAAAAAAGGAAAAAAAATGAAACAAAAGTGTCTCATTATGAGAACAGTTTTAATTTGACATCACGCTTCACATCTGGCCTCACTTTTTTGTCAAAAAGTGAGGCCAGATTATATGCACATATTGCTGTGAATCTGTTTCTTGGTCTAAATTATTCATGAATTATGCGATCATTGGTACTAATAGAGTAGAAGCAGAATATGTTACTAATTGTATCCATTTATTATTTCAGTATCAATTGCATTTGACAAAAAATGGCAAATACAAATAAAATTACACTTGAAGTAGGCGTAGAATAGCAAATTTTTGTCACTGCAGTTTCAGTGCACCAATATTTTCGCTTCTATACTAATAACTTTTCTCAACATCATTTTATATGGTGCTGATATTTGGTAATTAACTTTCTGCATACTTTTTCCTAAAGCTTAAAGTATAGCTTTCGGGCAAGAAATTGATACAAAATTTTGAAAACCTATGAAGTTTCGATGGTATGAATACTAACTTTTATTGACATTTTAAGACATAAAAGGGTATTATTTTCGAAACGATTTAATTGCGTTATCAGTTAAGAAACTATAAATAATTGCCTTGACAATTTAGGAACAGCCCATATACTGCAGCAAAAACTTGGACAAATGGTTCTTCAATTGAGACTAGACCGCATAGCTTTGCTAATTTCACATCGATTCTTGGTGATCGCTGTGAAGTGTGTAACCGTTGGATCGGGCTCACTGGTAAAGCAGCTTACAAATGTACTGGTAAGCGAAATTAGCTTTTAGTTAATAAATTTCTGGATATCATCTTTTAGATTTTGTTCTGAACTATTGTTTTAATTCAATTCCAGTAGTTCAGTAGTATGACTACTAACATATCTAGGAGACATTTTATAGGGACACTTATCTTTTCCAATAATTTATTCAGATTGTGGAATTCGTTTGCATAAATTATGCACAAGAAGTGCTCCAATCCCCTGCGTACCTCGAACAGCAACACCTCGAACACCTGGTAAACAACGTCCTCGGTTAAAAGATTTTTGTCCACCAACTCAACCGATGATTCCGTCTCTCATCATACACTGCGTCTTGGCTCTAGATAAGGATCGTTTGAGTACAGAAGGCATTTATCGAATTCCTGGGTAAAAGTTATTTTTTCATATTTGATGCTACTTTTTGATAATAAAAATGATAAAATTATTGTCAAGTTTTACGAACATAATTTTTCATTCGTATTTATATCTAATATATTTCATAGTTGATACTGTTACTTATTGAGTAATAATTGAGGTATTTTCCAGCCAGGAATCGCAAATTGTTAAATTACTGAATGAATTCAAAAACAGTCGCTCACTGCCCAAATTAGAATATCATGATACAGAAACAATCACTGGCTGTATAAAACGTTTCCTAAGAGAAATAAGGGTTAGTTGGTCAAGTTTTGTAGATTTGATTCCTTGTTTTATCGACAGTTCCGAAGGTTTTCTTTTTCAGGATCCAGTAATTCCGGTGTCGTCTTGGGAAGAATTTGTGTGTGCCGCTGAACGTGATGACTTCGAGGCTTTAAATCGCTCCGTGATGGATTTACCCTATCCAAACAGAGATACTCTCGCCTTCCTTTGCTCTCATTTCCAGAGGGTTTGTATTCACTTCCTTTATAAGTCCCTATTTCATTCATTTTTTCGGGGAAATTTGAAATCTTGAAATATTTTTTCAGGTTTGTGATAACCGTTTACGAAATAAAATGTCTCCAGAGGTTCTGGCTCGTTGTATTGCTCCAACAATTATTGGTCGCGCACCGTCACGTGCCACAAGTATAGCGCAAAACACTGAGGAAGTCTCAAAGCAGGTATTTCTGTTTTGGAAAGTGTTAAATACACCTAAATTTTTAAACTCTGACGTCTGTGAGAAAAAATCTCTTTCAGATCATGGTATTTATGGCTTTACTTAGAATGCCACAGGACTATTGGCCAAAGTTCTATGCATTTGATCAGGAAAAACCTCTGCTCAGAAGTCCTACAAGGTAATAATAGGAAAAGTAAGATGCATTGCATTTTGAGACAAAATTTGATGTAATTCATGCTTACTTTATTTGACCAAATGAACCACTGATTTTGCCCTGACAATAGAAGAAACAAGGTTAATTTTTAATTCGCGGCACTACATATTTTAGAGTACTAGCAGTTCATATTCTAACGTGTAAATACACATTAGTTTGTTAATATCTTGAAATATTTACAAATTGAGCTATTTAAAATTTTGAGACATTTAAAATTTACAAATGAAAATTTTACAGATCAACTGCAACATTTGTTTACAATCAGGAAGGTAAGACTCCAGTTCGACCTTCATTTAAAGTCTCGAACAACAGTGGCCGAAAGGATCCAAACAAGTCGATGTTAAAACCAGTGCAGATACCACCAGCTGGAAAACAACCAAAAGAATTTCAGTCTTTATGGAGTAAGCATGGAAGAGTTTTTGCCGATACTAATTTTTGACTACTAAAGATTCTAGAAGTTAAGAATTTACTAACAGTATGAATGTGTAACGAAAAGGTTAAAGTTACTTCACTTGAAGTAATTGGAAATGCGAAAATACAATATGTTTTGATCGCAAACTTTGTACTACTAACTGTGACTTTCTCCTACTAACTCTCAAGAATTACTTCTACCACTTCTCGGTTGATCATTTTCTTGTCATGAAATTAGGCATAATTTCATTGTTGCTTTTTATTTTCCATATTTAAGACTAAGAATCGGATCGGGTATTAATTCGACATATGCTAAATCGTTTTCATTGAGGAAGATAACAGTTAATCAGTTGTTTTGTAGCTAGGTACTATGTAAATTTTTAGTAACTATCTTTTGCTCTTGTTAATTCAATGACATTGGTTTTTGTTTATTTTGTGGTTTAATTCTATTTTAAATCAACATCAAAAGTAAAGTCCTAGTGAAGCAGGACGGCTTTTACAAAATAAATTTTTTAGATTTTTCACAAGGTTATATTGTAACAAATGCACTCATTTCCTACTATTATATTTCTTTCACGTCGTCACACTTCTCACTATTTCTTTTACGTCTTTTTACACAAAAAATAGGAAAGTATTCTAGGTGAACATTCAGACGCCTTTGTGTATCATTTGAAATCCTATGCTATAGGCTTGTAATTTAAATTACATAATATTTTTGCGAGTTGTTTCTCAAATTGCTTTTGGTTGGTACCTTCATTTGTGCTGAATTATTTTCTGAGTATGTTTATATCTATCCATAATTTGCTGACCTGTTCCTTGTTAAGGATCTTTAGAAGATATTAATTCAGATATTGGTATGACCGTATTGTTATGTTCCAGTGAGTGTGAATATAAGAAATTAGACGCGGGTCTAAACGATGTGCAAAAATTGTTGCTACTTAGAGGATTATGATCGATCCCGCACGTCTATATGTATGTGTGTCGGGAGGAATATTAGAGTAAAGTCTGATAAAAACACTACCTTTCGATGTATACTAGCAGATACGAAGTGCTGTCTCTGTTAATGTATTTACCGATCAGTGCAAACAACTACTTTTCATTTAAACTAGATTGATATGGTTAGTGAACAAATTTAAGCTTACTTGCTTTTTTAAGCGTCAGCAATGACAGTGTTTGAAATGTTTTTACGATGAAACAGATTAAAACGAATTATGCAATGGAATATAATTACAAATTCTTCATGTTTGTTTAAATTCAAGCAAACTTATATTTTGAGACATTATAGCAGTATTTCCAAGTAGAATTCTTGATCATTATAAGGTTTGTGAAGTGAGCATGGAACTGTGGTTTGTAAATTTATTTTAAAAGGATCAAAAAATCAGATCGGCTGAATAATTTGAAGAAAATGTACTTAGCAATACATATCTTAAACATGGGAAATGCAGAGGTAATGAGCACAGTTCCAACTAGTTTCGGACCTTTTAATAATAGAAAACAATGAAAGTAATGCAGAACTAGTAGGATAAAATTGTAATTGTATGCATTGTACAGAAAAACTGCGAAATCCCATTTGGAGCTTTCTATAAAAGTAGGGAGAAGTTATAGTGAGCCTTGAAGATAATACCGCGCCACTAAAAGTGTTTAAAAGTTTGTCAGCATGCAAAGCATCGTAATAACATCCATTTATTAACAGTGTGATGTGTCCGGCAAAGCCGATCATAGGAATCATCTCACTGAGATCAAATTCTTAACTGATAATGAAATAGTAACAAGGTCTAAAAAAATATTTAAAATGTCTAATGAAGCCGTGCAAACGAAGCGTAGTGATGATAATAACAATAATATATCCTGGGTAGAATAGATTTAAGCAACAAAGTGTCCATTTTATGTAACTATATGAAATTCCCAGAAATAGCACTAAACTCTTATTCATTTGTCGCGTTTTGTTTTTGAGCCATTTCTTTGGAGCTGAAAAGTGACATAAAACACTCTAGAAACAGTTTCTTTAAAAAGAGAACAAGGAAATTAAGGATTAATGAAAACTTACTGTACTTGTACATCTTTATCTCATTCTCTGGACCCAAATTTCGAAACAATTCGACATATCACATTCTGTTTAGTAAAATTTCAAACACCACTGACTTCACATTTCAATTCTTCAATACTATTTTTATTTATATAGAAAACCAAATTTAAAAGTTCAATAATTTCTAAAATTTTCAGTTCAATATTTTCTAGAAATTCCTTCGCAAACCATTGAAGTTAATAAATTTCTGTTTTACGACAATTCCATTCCTGAATAGTTGACGCAAAAAAATCATCTTCTAAGCACGTTTGAAGGACAAACATGTAGCACATGCTGACTCGAAAATGAGTAACTAAACGTTATTTTACTTGACAGACCGAAATAACTTTTCGGTAATTAGTTGTTTTGAAATCCTTTGGCGAAAAAAAAAAAAACATCAAGAAAGGCGAAGTTTCGTTTGTATTGCAGGAAAAATAAAAATCAGTTTCCGTTTGAAAAGCGTACGAAATCATAACCAATCGAGTATCCTCAACAAGTAATGTGTTAGAATGTTTTGCATGCTCCAAACAGTTCAACTGGCAAAATCTGCCTTGACAAATCTGCTGATGTCGCTATTTCCATGATATCATGTTCGTTCTCACTAGCAGATTCCTCAAGTATTTGATAGAAGTTTGGGAAATTTTTTTAATCCTTTCTTCTGTACCTCTGAGAAATTGATACCGTGTCCTTTGTAACCAATAAAAGAATCTCTATAATAAGCAGTAAATAAAGATGCAAAATTTGCTTCAAAGATAAGCATACATCGGAATGTTGCATCAAAGTATAAAATTTATTAAGCATACGATTCATCTTACTGATTGCTACCAGTAAAGTTGAAAGATTACAAGGAAGGCATAGTTACGCAATTCAAATTTGTCTCTTCTCTTTTCAGCCCAGGTATTCCCTTTTATTCTTCATTATAATTGTCTATCTGATCGAATTTCGGCTCGAGATCGCATGAAACTTATGGTTTTTTTGATGTGTTCTTTTAAAGATATTTGCTGATCCAGTGAGATCAACTTTTTTCCTTAAAAAAAAAAGAGAAAAACAGAATTAAAGAAAAGAAGAAAAGAAATTGAATGAAGACTACTCTATATCAAAATAAATTTAAATTACAATAATAAAATACATTTCTAATCAATTTTAGTTGTTGATGACACCATTTGTTTTCATGTCGACGACACGACACCGAGAACTTTGCGATTGTAATTCGAAATTCTGTCCTCCAATCTTCAATCTACTACCCATCGAGAGCATGTTTGACCAGATTCTAACATATTTTTCACGACTTCAGGGTATCTTTATGATTTCCGTTGAGGCTGAAAATGAATCCACTCAAAAGTTGTACAAAAAATGAAACCAAGAAAAGAACTAGTTATGGAAGATAAGGAGATATAGCGAAAATAAGACAAAAGCATGTCCTGGAAGGAAGTAACACCTAGAATGATATCTTGACGACTTGCTTCAAAGCCATCAATTTTTTCCATTATTTCTGTTCTCATATGACGTAAAAATGATCAGCTTACCCAAAAATATCTGTTACATAACTAAAAGAATTTGAATTCTTTCTTGACCTCAAAATTTAAGGCCATAATTCAATTGAAAATTCTGTTAATAAAACTGCAATTTCATTTATTAAAGCATTTTCATAAACCAAATATTGTCCTAATCTCATGGCAGAAGTTTTGGATTCATGATCAGAGCTTGACGGCTACTAAAACGTCATAATATTAGATAATCATAAAAATGAATCGCAGCGGAGAAAAAAAATGAGAACCTATAATTTTCCCTGGAAGAATTTGTAAATTCTCAAGAAAAGTTTCGTGAAGCATTTAAAAATTCAGCTCCTCTGAATTTCCTGGTAAATTTTTGCTCTGATTTGTCTGACATCATTATATTACATTCAATCGAGAACGTACTTCCCAGTGCTGCATTTTTCCGTGCTCAATCTGAACTGTTACTCTTCTCACTGCCATACATAGTATTCAATCTATTAAAAGTATCAAAAGTTTATGAGAAGATGCCTGATTGTTTGGCCAAATAATGCCAATAACATTTGCTCACTGTGAAACTGTCACTGTATTTAAAGAAGACCCGATTTAATATATTCAATCGTATCTTGTTGGTTCTTTTTTTGCACTGTTTACAGAGCTTAATTCTTTTAAGTATTATAAACATATGCTTCCCAACACATACGGAGACAAATGAATATAAAAATGCAGTGTGAAGGAAGATGAACAACATATAATACTCCAAAGTTGATTCAAAAGGAGCAAAGGAAAAAAATTCAATTTCATATAGCTCTTTCGATTCATTTACACTTCACAAATCGATTCTTGCCCTCATTTATCGATGTAAAGCTCTACAGAAAACAGCTACTGAATGACATGTTGGGGTTGGTAAGTCATAAATGCTTTACCATACCTATTTTGACGCACCAGTAAATCTGCTGAACCGCTCTTTGTGAGCAAGCATCCAAATTCCTACAAATTTAAAATGTTAAAAAAGTTACCTTATTGCTGATAAAACTGGCATAATTCGGAGATTCCATAAGCACTACAAATCAATACTATTGGTATCCTATAAAACTAACATTCTCGACATGCCAAACTACTACATATAAACGGTTAGACACAGCAGAAAGTTGAAGTTGAAAAGCAGGAATTCTGACAGTGCAACAATATGTCACTCAACAAAGGACTATTTTAATGAGTCTGACAATAACGAATTTCATAAGTCGAAAGACACTAGCTTAGAAGTGCTCCAAATGGTATTCGAAGGAAAAATTAACTGAAACTATCCATTGTACTCATATAACATTGCATTCATAACCTAACAGATTAACAGAGATAATTAAACAAAACAAAACGTCTTCTACTAGCTTAAATATTTCGACATTCAGAACGATTAAAGGTTGCAACCGAGATAGTCCTAGTGTAAACAGTCACATCTGTTTATGTAGCACACCTGATAGATGGTTCCTTTTGCAGTTAACCAGACTGATAATAGCAATCAGATAATGAATCCGTCTTAATAGAAAATATAGTTTCACTGATGCATTTCGATCTAATTCTGGTAATATAAAAAATTTATTGTTACTTATTCTTAATAACAAAAAACGCGAACAAAAATTTCATTCCGTTTCCTCATTCCTTAGCTTCTCGTAAACGCCTGATGGTACTGCGCACAGTGGCTGCTGCGGTTGTGCTATATACATATGCACCACCAGCAACTATTTTATTGCATTTCGAACATTTCCAAATGCCAACACATTTTCGCTTCATCGACTCCTTTCCACAGAAAGCACATGTGTATTTAGAATGTTGTGTTACCTGAAATACTTAAATGGTGAGAATATATATTTATAGGTATATTAAGACTTGTAACAATAAAAAGGAAAAACAAAAATGCATATAAAAAGAAAACTGGCAGAATTCTACACCAGAAAAATACTGTGTATTTCGAATAGAATCCGACTCAGCAGCAGACAAAATACTACATTTCCTGATGTCAACAGTTAATATAAAAACTTACAACTCACTTGCTAACACCAACACATGCAATCACAAACTATATTGCATCCACCAACTGGAATGGTTTAAAAACAGTAGAAGTGAATGAAATGAATACCTCCATCTTTTTAACAGTTTTTCTCAGTGAAGCACCATAGCGAGTTCCATACTTCCCTACTATGCCAACCTTCTTCGTCCGTTTAGCCATTTCGATAAGCTTTGAAATGAAAACAATCATAAAATGAAAAGCCATCTCATCCACCTCAACCCCATGACCCTGACACCAAACCCCGCACTACCAATAACCAATCCCCTAAAGAAACACCGAATCTCCCCACCCACACAACAACTTTTTACCCTCACACAACCATCCCTCACACGAGACCTAACAGTTTCGCTGCGTTGTAGACCACTCTCCGGGCCACTATGAAAACTTCGAACTCACCTTCGGCTTTTCACCAACTACATCATTTAGAGAATAGCGCAGCTTCAAAGACATAATCTCGAAATTATTATGGTTCACCTCTTCCAAAACAGTTTTTATTGCAGTATCGCAACAGACAAATTACAGAATTAGTTGGTAATGCACTTGTACATGAACAAGAAAGAGATGAATTCATCCTAAAAAGCAACATATAGTTCACTAGGCGGTAAATTCACTTTCGGAAAATGATCGATCTTCTAGCTCAGTCCCACGGATTATAAATCAAAACCAGTTGGAGAGAAAAAGAAACACTGCTTCAACCATTTATTAAGTATTTTGAAATCTGAATTAAGAATGAAACGGCGGACATATAAAAACATATGATAGCAATTGAGAAAATCATTGCACAAAATCCGTTTTCATGAATTGCATGGAAGTGTCTTCAAATAGATAAAACAAGTATAACAATGAGAACGACAAGTTTGCCTCACTTTTATATTATTAATCGTTAAAAGTGAAGAAAAATGACATTAGTTGCTTGTTGAGCAGCTTTTACACACAAACTTTAACATTATTTAACTGTGGAAATAAGACAACAAAAAACTTAGAGTTGCAGATAACATTTGTAAAAAAAAAGTCTATATTTCAAACGATTTTACTGGTCGCTGTGTCGAATAACGTTTACCAAGACGCATTTCCATCTTCGCACGATTATCATCAGTATTATTTGTTTCAGACTTGCTTTCTGCTTCTTTACCTAAAGCCAACATATAAGAATATTTTTTTGGAAATTTAGCTTCTGTTTGATTTTAATGATGGATTAGTAACTGTTGGATCCAAAATTGCTCTACTTCAGAACAATATGACATATCTTACATAATCTACAAAGTGGCAGCTATAGCTGCAAGACAAGAAATGCCTAACAGGTGTCTATCAGCAACGGGTTAAACATGGCTAAAAGAAACAATGACCTAATTTATCTGAAACGAGAATTAATCTTACAAGGATCTTAATTGACATATCTTTTACTCATTTCTATAAACCTATTTTCATACTCAACACTTATTTACTTAACTCCATCTAACTTTTTATTTTCCCAAACACTAGAATGTTCTTTATTCAGTATATTACCAATGAATGATAAACGATTACCGTTTTCTTGTTTTTTTACACCTTTTCTTTTATTTTGATAATTAGCCCCATGACCATGAACTATAAAACAATATATTAAATAATACAGTTCTGAAATGTATTTGATACAATTAAAATTAAGTCAGGAAATTACATTTGCTCAATTAAGAGTTTATAAGTGCACAACTTTTAATTGTTTCGGATATCAAAAACATACTCTTATGTGTCCTTGTAAAACAACGTGATGCGTTCCAAAAGTTCGTTGATGTCCGAATTCGAGTCTGATTTGTGCGACGCATATCATGTTGGAAAGCCGAAAAAATTCTTGTAACAAAATTTTGTAGAAAGACTTGTCCTTGAAAGAATCTTATCGAAAACTTAATCGGTTAGAAGAAACGTAAAAGCCATGAAAAATTGTTCGAAATAGCTCTTTCAATTAAAATTGTTTGCTTCAATCTAAGCATGCTAAACATGCTTTCAACAAAAATTTTCACTTGCCTTACCGAAGAGATGGGATTTCCTTCCCGATCTACACCGTACTTCTTGGCGAATTCCTGATTAGACATTGGTATCTGATCTATTTCGTTGTATAAATCATGCCGCCACTTACAATCAGCACGAGACAACAGATGTGATGTAATTCTCTCACAAGTTTCACGAGTATCGTGCATGAAAAATTGTCCTATGCGAGGGATGTATGCTGGATGTGTTTGATCCTGGTCCTGGTCAAGTTCAGATACTTTCTCTTCCTAGAAAAAAAAAAACAATATCTACAAGGATTAATAATGCGAATAACATATGATCACAACTTTTCTGTACATTTTTATTTTTTTGGTTCCTTTCATCCGATTTTATTAAGCTTAATTTGTTTAGTGATGACAGTCGTGTTCCTCTACTGAATGCCATCTTTAATATGTCGAGAAGTGAAATAAGGGTAAGGAAGTTTTCTCAAAGCTAAACTTTTTCACTTCCTACTAGATTCACATCAATTTACATTTGCTGCGGATATAAATCATTGCAGTAGTTACTATCAATAGCCATTACACCTTATAATTTATCGTTCTTTCATCACAATAAAGGTTAAACAAGACAAGTCTTAACTGTCATTCAGAAAGTGAAGTATGCGATAAGTTGAATATTATTAAAACTCATATGTGTTCAAACAGACAGAAAAATCTTTTAGCTTAAAAAAAAATTATAAACAGTGGACTACGTCGAGAATTATATGTGAAATTAACAAGAGTGCTTCAGAGATGAGGATAACAGATGATATCACAATGCGGGAAAATTTTGAAAGCTTACGTCAACGAAGCTTTTTAGTTGTTGACTGTTTGTAGTTTGATCCCCAGGAGAAGTTTTCGGATATTCACTTTCAATGTTCACAACTTTGTCTTTCGCATTTCTTGAATGTTTACTATCAGAAATTTTCATTTCCGAAATCGTGCTGGTGACATGCAGTATTTCCGAATCCTCCTCTTCTACCATTCGTTCTTCTGTAGTTGTTCTCTTTGCCATTTTGAAAGAACTTTTGTATAAGACGCTAAGGAACAACCTAAAATTAATATTAAACGTTTCTTATGAGAGAAATACGGAAATCTTTTCACAGCTTAATAGCAGACCCTCCGACTGTTAGATCTGAGGTTAAAGTTCACCCATAGACAAGTAAATCTTGTATAATGTATGTTTGAGTATCCGGATATTTTATAATAACTTAATATATCCTTGAATGTAATTTTTTTTTAGCAGAAAGCGTAGGACAGAAGTGGGGGAAGGCCCTAAAATTGAAGCATCTAAAATAAAACGAGATGAAATAAGAAAATTTCAAGGTATTTAGATCAAATTTGCTCTCTATCTCTTGATTAATTGTAATCAAGAGATAGGGACATCTTCCGTGATCTACCAGAAAAAAACATTCCAAATGAAGAAAAATACTTTTTCTTGCAATAAGCAACGCCACAATTCAAAAATAAAAGCTCGCATAATCAAAATATAATTAAAATTATGAAAAGAAATTAAAATCAAAATTTATATATTAAAAAAGTGAAAAACTCGACATATCCTAGTATCATCCTTGGAAGATTTCATTCTTATCGCATTAAATCGTAGGATGACCCTCTCTTTCCTTCCGGAGACATACGCTACCTTAGCACTTTACTGTCAATATGCAAACGTGCGCAACTTGCTTCAGCGAAAGACATTACTGTTCGAAAAGGAAAACGGACATGCGGCATTCTTGAAAAGAGAGACAAAGCATGCACGAGGGATATTTCTATAAAGAAGTAAATGACGTAGTCCGACACAGAGGGAGAAGAGAATACACGTAAAACAGAATGATAAAAAGAGCATTCATTGTTCATTGGTAGTGGTAACAAGGAGTAGTGAAGTGATTGATATACGTGCTGCAGTGAAATACTGGCGTGTAATGAGTAGATCGTAAGCTAAGTAAGTTGGACTGTTTCCGATATACTTAATATTTTTCATTTCAATATGTGAAAAGATAGAAAGTGATACGTGACATGCGTGAACGTTTTGATGTTGTTTTGGTGAAGTGTTTGAAAATCAAATTATATTAACAGATAATCATTTCACTGTAATGACAACTAAAGAAACAGTATGGAGCTGAAAAGGATGGTGATGATGACCTTTTGTTTGTCATCGCCACCGATTGGCATTCAAAGTAGCTGGTGAGAAACTTAGAAAGTTACCTTCTATTTATTCTTATCATTATTAATACCTACAATATCGTTACTCTATTTTTTCTTTTTGGAAGTTGAGTGCTACTCAGGATATAAAGGTATGTTGTTGAGGAAAGAGGGAAGAAGGCCTTAAGGCTCTTCTTTGTTTGTTTCTTCATAGAAGTGCTTTGAATAAATTCTTAATATTGAATTTACAGGAATTATAGAGAAGTTGCATTAAAGCCGGCAATAAAATCTAAGAATAACGAAAGACTGTGACATGAATATTACATTTACAAAACCTTAGAGAAACTGGATTTCCGATGTAAAAGATTTCTGTAATTTTTGATTGCTAGAAGGCTTATGGTTGCTAATTTTTAAATTATAAGGTTATTATCATTCGATTGTTCGGTTCCATGGTTTGGTAATCAAAGTAATTGCAACATATTAGTAATGGAATTGCTAAGTTCTTCGTTGAAAGATCAGTTTAATTTCTGCAGGTTGCCTTTTTAGTCAATGACTTCTAGCAAACCAGCTGGCATGCAATTTAATACCTGAGTATTCTCAGACAGTTGTGCATTTCATTCTTTATTCATTACTAAATGACTCTAATAAGAAATATGATACCATAATACTTTCAATGCTATCTTTTAAATCGAAGAGTATAGTATAATACGTTCTAATTTTTTGAATTCTGTGATTTCATTGCTGACTGCAAAATATCAACAATGTATTTTTCTTTTAATATACAAGTGATGTATTTTCTTTCTTATATGGAAGAATCATTAAATTCTTAATTTAACTATTAATTCTTCTCTATCAGCATGTTTTGCAAACATTACATCTGGCAGGTATCGTTCACAGAGATAACAAACCTGGAAATTTTATTATGGGTCTTGATGCAAAGCACAAAATATTAAAATTCGTAGCTGTATCGGTTTTTGCTTTCATGTTTCTCTTTTTCCTAGTAAATATCCTCGGTAAAATTTTATCATTACAGAGAAATACCTTACATTACACATATAGTAAAGTTTAAAGTCATCTTTATGAGTTAATAATCCATGGTGCTGGTTATGGCCAAGAAAATGATGTTTATTTGATGGTCTTCATTAAATTAACAGATATGGATGAGTCCATGTAAGGATTCATGGATCCACATACAGAATACAAAAAAAAAAAAGTTTTTTTGTATGTTTCATCTCTTCAAATGCTTAGTTTTAGTAAGAACTTTTTTTATCAGTAACGAATAAATAATAATTCAATATCAATTTTACTGCAAACATGAAAATTAAATTTTTTTCAATTGGAATAAATGCAAAAAAATTAAATTTTCAATAAATAAAATGAAATTTATATTAAAAAAGTTCTCATAGTTAAGTTGTATGGGCGATTTGATTTCATTAGCATATATTCTTATCTACTTTTTGAAAGCTAAATTACCGTGGCTTAAATACAAAGCAAATTCGAAGGAAGCATATACATATACTGAACATACACCGATTGTTCGATAAGTAAAAATATTTTGCTTTTAAGGTAGCAGGCAGTTGCAGAATTACGTTTCAACACGTTTCAGTCTTTTTATTTTTGTAATTTTGTGGTTAGATGAGAATGTCATACAGCTTTTCATCAGCTTCTCATCATTTGATAGAACCTTTCATAATGACCTTAGAAATTTATTGGAATAGTATTATAAAAATCCTATAGATGTTGGAAATATTGTTTTTAAAAGAATTAAAAGCATTTATGAAATTGTCATGAACTGAAGATCGATGAAATTTCAGATCATGAAGAGTGAGGCAAATCTTTTAAATGTTATTCATCAAAAAGCAATTTATTTTTGATATTTTGTGTGACTGGGACCTGTTTGATTTATTCATTTTTCTTAAGATCATTATTCATCTCTACATAATGCATGCTGTAACATTGGTCCTGCATATCTTGCATGTTACGTGAGTCAGAAACCCCGTGGTTTTATAGTAATGGAAAAGAACTCACTAATAAAAATTACCGTGTTAATTCTCTAGAATTTGAAACTTACTTGCTAACAGATATGCACGAAAGTTAAAAAAAGATGGTTCTAGCTGCATGCACATCGATATTTACTTGTCAGTCAGTGTTTGATTTCTTATTATAGAGCAAAAAATTCCTTCCTTTAATAGTGTTAAAAGTCATACAAGTAGGTATACTTCGAATTCTGATATCAAATCGTGCTGTGTTTTGATCACCTATCACCTAAAGTATTACTCCCTTTGAATTCTGATTTCCATTTGTTACTTATACCTTATCGGACTAGCATTTAAAGATTTTAATCCCAAGAACAATTCCAAGAATCTTTTGTTTTTTTAATGAAATGTGACAAAAATATGAGAAGAAATGTGCTTTAAGAAAATATATTCGCCTTTTGACATAGCTTATTCCTTCAGTTTATAACTTATTCCCTTGATACACTGATACAAAAGTAAAGGCGAAAATGCAATTTACTCCAGCGATAAATATTCAAAAACACCAAGTTTTATCATCCCTAAATTTACCTTCGAATCAAAGAGTAAGCAATATATCCAGTTTTCTACCCAAGTTGGATAACATTTTTTGGTTTGTGTATCATATGTGGCAATATTCGACGTGTGTTACGCCTGGGCATGTGCTCTTCGTAAGTTGATCGCAGGATGCCCAACAACTGATAATTCATGCGATGCCTGTATAGTTGGTATTTCTGGAAATGGTTTGGTTGAAGTATGTTACTTATTATTTGCTATTTTTGAGATTGTAATTCAACTTTAGCGATGAAATTGATATGCAGAAGTAATGCATACAGCTTGCTAAGGTATATGCTTATAAGGTACACTGATGGAAGTTAAACTGTGAAAGGCACTTGATAATTCCGTAATCATTCTTACTTCTCAGTCTATTGATGTAAAAGCATAGGGAAATTAAAATGCAAAACTAATAACATTTACAGAAGTAGTTCTATCAAAAATCTAGGTGATACTTTAATAGGTGAAAATAAATTACCAGCTCTTTTTTACGGCCATCTTTGTCGAAGCATTTAAATTCGCAGTCATTGTTGAACACTTGAAGATCACGAACAGAAACGGACATTTCTTGACTACCTTTAGCTTTGCTAAATACGGTTTTTTCTTCTTGGTAGGTTTATTCATTTTAAATTGTACTAAAGAAAAGATATTATAAATTACTTTGGAATATATTTAAACTTAAATAAATCAAGTTAATACTTTCAATAGCGTGATATAAATACCAATATCGAATTTACTGAAAAAAGCAATCAACTAATAACCTTAACTTTCTATCAACAATTATCATCTAACTTTACTTGCTTATTTTTGTTGTCAATCTATAATGCTTATAGATTTTTTCTAGTTCCAACTTATCATTCCAGAAAAGGCTTTTTTTTTTTCAAATCTTTCGAATATCTTTCGAAGAAACTCGTCTTTTTATTAAATTTATAACAATAACGGTTTTTATGGCATAACACTTTTCCAGCAACCACAAAATATCAATATTTTGTGGTTGCTGGAAAATATTGATAATATCTCTGTTGATCTTACTAATAGTTTCATATTTGATTTACCGTCTGATCGATAAAAAATGGGCTTGATATATATTCCTAAATAAATGAATCATTGTCCAAAAGACGGACTTCTTTGATATTTCCTATTCTGATCCCATGATGTCTGTTTTTTTTTGTTTTTATTTATTTATGTGGATGAGCGCTTGCTTGTTATAGTTTAAAAACTCATCTCGTTTTGGCAGTAAATCGAAAGCTTTTGTTGCTTCAGATGTTAAGCATGCTTACTTCCAATTTTGTTTTATAGGATGAAACAAATTTAGAACATTTGTTGCTTTGAGCGCTACACTTTTCCTTCAAGTTTTAAATTCACGTTACTTATGTAATATCTTGAGCCAGGATATAATTCTCCTTTTGATAAGGCTACAACCTGGTTAAAATGTAAGCTGAATAAAAGGTCATAAAATGGATATTCATCACTCCATAGAACATCAAACGGGACATTTTCGAGTAATTTATCAATGTAAAGTTTATATCCAAGATTCTCAAAAATTTTAATTACATGCGAGAAAGAATTCAATAAGCCCTGAAATTTATGCTAATTTTATTGTCCCTGATGAGACGGAAATTTTTCAAGCATAAATTTTAACAATTTTTTCTTAATTGAAACTGTTAAAATTTCTCGCAAAATTTTTTGATTTTAGCATTAATTTTTGACAAAGAATACAAAGTTAATAATGCTTCTTTTTATCAATTACATTAAGTCTCATCCATCCAAAATGTAAAGGAATCATTCCTTGATCAGCTACTCAGATCACTGATTGTCTTGCACTAAGAAAGTTTTTCGAATATATTGGTGAAGCCCATTTTCAGACTGCAATTTCGATTTGCTTTGAAAACTTGAAATGAAATTAATAGAACTTTTTTTGAGGTAATAGATGAAAAAAAAAAATAAATTAAAGTTGAAGGATAAATTTAAGGGTAAAATTAAGGTAGATTAAAATGAAAACAAAAAAAAAAAATTAAATGATAGTTGCTTTCGAATAGAAATGAAACACTTCCGTATCTCAGCCAAAATTGTTCGTAACTATAGTAAATTTACCGTTGTGAGAAAAATACCAAACACTGAACTGTGACGAACAAGGAAAAGGACGGATAGAAAGCATTCAGAGTAATTTTGTTTTAAAAAATATCACTTACGTAAAATATTATTTCGCATATGATGCAGGAAGCAAAAATAGAAATTTATCAAAGCTTATTGTTAAATTTATGGTATGGAAAAGAAACAGACAAAGTCGTTTAAAATCTATAGTATGGTTCAAAGCTGTAGCATTCAGAAACTGTTCAAGACATTTGAGATTAATAGTATCCCATGAACAGAACATTACTGGACATTACTATCAACGATGCAAACTTAAATCATAGCTATTCCTGAATTATATTTGCATACTATTGTAAAGTAAAAAAATTATTTGATATCTAAGTAACTGAAGTGATTTGAAATCATCCGTACATACCACTGTACTGAATCTGTAAGGGTAAAAACAGTATGCTATTTTGATGTAGAAAATGATGATGGCGCAAACGGATGTCAGCCATTGAGGCGTATGTTGACACGTTGTGAATGATAAACATCTAGCAGAAATTGTTCGTGACGAAACATAGAAGCAAAAAGTCCTTCGGCTAATAATGTCACTTTTGGCTTTCTTCAGATATTACAATAACTCCTTAAATTTATGTTTACTGGAATGAATGAGATTCATTTTAATTATTTAAAATATCAAATTGTGATCATCAAAAAACGTATACTTTAACTCTCTCATGCAAATTTCATTCTAAATTTCATATCAAATGCATGAATAATAAATACTCTGGTACAAATTTGATAGAATTTAAAAAATTCGAGATTGCAAGTGATTTTAGTATTCATTTCAATACACGGGCGGTTCTTTTATTAAGCGGTGTGTCAAGAATGGTAATTTCTTTTCCCATCTACACTTCATGCAAAGCTATATTTCATCTCATTCTTACTTACTTAAGTTTTTCACGTATAATTTAATGACAGTAATGATATATTTACAAAATCCACTACTATTATGACTTCTACTAAGCAAAGCAATCAAAGCCAAAGTTAGCAAATACTTTTGAGCATTAAAGGAACTTCTAACATATGCTAGTTTTCGTTATTTCAAAACAGATCCATTGTTCTATTTCATTTGTTCCAGCCTAGCATCTCACATCAGAATCTTCAAAAGCGCTTGTTGCGTTATATTAGTCGTCGTAAACCTTGCAAATACTTGTTGTTCATTCAATTTGGAATATTGGCTTTGCTCATTGGATTCTTCATACCGGTCATGCTATTACTAGACAATTCGAGGGTCAGCCTTTCCTACAGATTTAAAATGTACACAACTATTTATAGTTATCAGTATATTAAATATTACAGAAACAGTTAGCAGTAATGAAAGCAGAACATCGAATCTATCAGACTTATGTTGGTTCAATAACACTCACACACTGTCATTACTTGTATCCGCAGAAGTCTGAGGTACATACTATCAACAATTCTCTTTTTTCTACAACTTCAAGTTTATTTACAAAATATTTTACTATTTATTTTACATTTAATGTTATCAATTTTTATGAAACATGTATATGTAATATGTGTCATCTACCTATCTCCTTGAATACGTTATTAATCGGAACAGTTAAGTACAAGTACTGAAGCCTTAAAAAAGTCTTTATTAGTAATAATAGAATGGTATAGAGTTCCTGAAGTTGTCAGCATGAAGTACCATTTTTATAATTGTATCAATAATTCTTACTTGCACGTAAAGACATTGTATAGAATCGTTGATATTCCTTGAGCTACAAAAATAAATACTCACTTCTACGTAAAATTACTCGTCACTTTATCACAGGAATTATGTGATAAACAATGTGGAAGCTCAGCTTATATTGTGTTGAGATATGAAAATTCTCTTGGAAATAAAATGGAATCAGCCTGTCCTTCACTGATTCAAACGGCCAGTTAAATTCTTAACTTTTTTCGATGGTAATTTCTCTCGAAAATACATGGCATGATCTTCTTTTTCTCTTTCTCTCCCTTGTTTAAAAAAGAAAAACTACTTCAGCTTTAAATTTATATTTCCCACGTTGTCAGAAAAGAGAAAATGAGAAGTATTTGGAGATAAGGAAAAATTTAACATAAGAGTCATTATTACTGCTGCAGGTTCCATGTCATGAAAAACCAGCTCGATGTAATCAGAAACTTCGGCTACGTCAATGTCCTGGAGTGAATGGAATTTATTTACTAAAAAATCTTTCAATAACACCATTAACTATTTTCAAAGTTGGTTTGATTTTGATGAATTCGGGAGAAGTTCCCAAGATTTATACCTCACTTTTTCAATATACTGTAAAGAATTAACGAGTAGCAAACATATTACTAACTGTTGCACATATTTCTGTTAGGTGCCACTGCTCAACATTTCCACAATGAAAGGGGAAATTGTATCCGCGCTGGAATTGTTTGCGGTGTGTCCTCGTTGCAGAATATATTCTCATTCATATAAGTAAGAATATATTCTCAACTTTATCATATCTCTTCACTTCTGTCATTTATTTTTACTCTTTTTATTTCGTGAATTCGACTTGGCAGTAACAAGCACATCTTCTTTTGCAGGAAATCAGACAACACATGCTACAGACAATTAGAAACAGTAAGAGAAGGTTGGCCGGAACAGTACCGCGTTTGTGATAGTGAGGTGCTAAGTGAAAACAAGATTTGTAATCCTTACGATGCTTTATAAATTGATAATTGTAAATTTTAAAATCTCATCTAGTTATTTCCAGGCATTTTTCTATTATTTATTTACTTCTTTTTATCTGTTGTTATTATTAAAAACATTCTTGATATTGCTGCCGTTATTAACGACATATTTTATCTTACTATCTTGAAATACATCTTGTTATAAATTTATCTATTCGATTTTACCATCTGCTAAAGCATTAGAATTGGAAGTATCCTATTCAAGAAACCAAAACAGTTGACAATTGACAGCTAGCCACAAGTACTACCGAGATGGAACAACATCTGATGAAGTTTTTTGGCTATTGGTATATAGTTCACTTCAATGTTGTAATTTTGTTCTTGCTCCCGAGGGACATACTGGAAACTAAAAGTGTTTCATAGCTGTAATAACTTTAATTTGGGCCATATTTTAGGCATATCCATAGCACAATTTGCGCAAACATGCAACCCGCACCCCAATTTCAAAACCGTTACCAAATTGATCTACATCTCTACCAAAGTATCGGTAGAATAAGATTTGCAAATCGCAATCACATCAGTCAGTCATTGTCATTTAGCGAAAGCAATTTAGTAAACGATCTCTGAACCGCAGCTTATGCATGGACTTATATATCGCTGGACAACAACAACAAAATTTAAACGACCTTTGTGCCGAAGTGGAAAGCCAACTACTGCAGAGATGTAAAAAAAATCTTGAAATGCAGTTATGTTCAATTCAGAGCTGGGTAATTTCAATTTTTTGAAGCTTAATCTTTTCCGCAAAACTTCTCTGGACCGCAAAAAGTGAGGATATGTTTTTTGAAATCACTTTTACACTTACTTTATGAAAGAAAGCAACACTTTTGAAATGCTAACGATATAATAATAGCTAAAGTACAACAGCATTTCTTGTCTTGAGATTCAGAGGATTTAGAGCTCCACGACGAGACATTTTTTGGAATCAACATTTCGTCTAATTCTTTATTTTTTACTAACTTTAGTTATACATTTATTTCCGACTCAAATTCTCGAAAGTACTTTTTACCTACCCTCTCATTTCATTATATTAAAACCATTTTAAGGAGAAAAAAGATTCCGAACTCAGGAAAAAATTTTTTCACCTAAAAAGATTCAAAATGACAAGTGATGTTCTAAATCTTTGAAAGTTTTACTTAATCATTTTCACAAAATTTCTCTGGACTGCAAATTTTGACATTAAAATGGAATACCTCAGCAAACTTTTCGCAAAAAATTGGAAAGACATCATTTACTGAAACATTTCTTCCCAGCTCTTGCGTTAGAGAAGTGACTTCTTTTCCAACTAAACCGCAAGGTACAATCTGAAACTAATTTCATGGGGGGTGTGTATGATAGAAATGTAAAATGAAAGAATTTATTTAGAGGTCAAGAAAGATTTTGGATAGACTTGATACTTTTGTCTTGTCCCAGTCCCCGATTGTGATCGAAATTTGGTCATCTGAATTTAAATGTTCTGACGTTTGGACTTTAAAATATAAAATGAGACGGTTACAAACATGGTGTGAAGAAAACAAATCGTATTTCCTGTGCAAGATCCACAAGATCAAAAAATATGATTGGAAACACTAAACGCAATAAGATTGTACCTGATGAAACCAGTTCAAATCCGTATTGCAGTTAAGTGCTAAGCCATGACTAACGATGCCATCGCGAACATTTATGCCAATTGCCGCTATTTTCCTCATACCATTTGCTAACCAAACTCCTAAAAATACTACTGATTTATCAAGTAAAACAATAGCAACAAGTGAAATGTAAATAATAACATTATAATATAATAAGGCAAAATTTTTGGATGACTTGGTAATTTTTTCTTATTTCCAATGTCGATCTTGAAATTTGGTCATCTGAACTCACATGCACCAGAATTACTTCAATCATCTGAATTTTAATATGCCATCAGTATAGTTTGTTGTTCGGACTTTCCAATTTTCTTTTGGTTATGTATCGCTGTCAAAAACAAATGAGATGTGATAAAATACTGCCAAAGGACATTTTACTAAAATCCCGAGACTTAACCTGTATTGGGCGATCTATCTGCACCACGCAAACCGAAATCACGAACAGTTTTGATGATTGCCTCTTCGACAAGATATACATAACGGCGAACGCCTACAATAGTGGAGTTCTGGTCCGGACCCTTCACATGCAAAGAATGGAGATCAACAATAGGATAAACAACAAGCTGGCCTGGGCCATGAAATGTAATGAGTCCACCTCGTTTTGTCCTGGAAATCCAAATGCTCAAACCGAAAAAAAAGTGTAGATGTACTGAGAAATCAAAATTTGAACTAAATGTATGAAGAATAAAGATTTAGGAAAGGAATATTTCCACCATCCTGGAATTAGCTGAAGTTTTGGATTACCACTCATAAAAGTCTATTCAGACATGTTAAATAAATCAAATACTGCATAATCATGCGCGCGAGAATCGATATATGTGGTGCTTATATTTTATCAAATATTTCAGTTCCAAAAATTCAAATTTTTTTGAATTAAATATATGTAGTCTTTATGATCACTTTATCTTATATAACATATAAAACTGAATACCGAAAGAAATCAGCACCCAGTTTCTTCAACCGGTTTTCTTCATCTTTATTGTATTGGAAGTGCCTTATTCCAACAGTATAGACAGGTGTGTGCTCTAATAATAATAAGTAGCTCCTGAAATCTTATAAAAAAATTTTTTTTTAATATAAGGATTTTTATAAATGTAAGGACCAGCAGAATATCAACTCAAACTCACTTTTTCATCGAATCAGATCCCAGTTTTCGTAAAGCAAGAAGTTTGTCAACATAACAGTGTTGATATCTCAATCCATCAGCATAGGTGATACGACCTAACCATATTGCATCAGCGACACTTCGCAATGAAAACGCATCAAACCGCATATCAAATCAAAATGGGAAGTGTCAAGCAGAAAACAAATATTAAATAAACAGTTTGACCTGATAAAAGATAAAGGAGCAACAATTAAAGACAAAACAATGAGTTAGCACTATTCAAACAACTTTTCAAGGATGATCACTCGCGTCTCTTCGGGTCAGGTGCTGCTACCGAACGCAATCTTTCCTCACGGTATCTAAATGTGCTAAATATTATTTTAAAATGAAATAGAAACATGAAATACTAGTTCCAATATATGGGCTAGGCTAATTCAAATAGAAAAGATATTAGCAAGTTTCAGCCTGCATAATACCTTTTGCAGAATATCTTTCCAGCTTGATTGAAGCTTCTGAAATATACAGTTTGCAACAGACCAAAGTGAGATGCATGAAAAGATCTGTGACGCAGCATCTCCATGTACAAAGAAACCGGGAACAATTGTAGCTCAAGCTTCCCACATTCTCGAGGTTAGTATGAATCACACAAATGCCTGTTGTTTAATATCTTTCAAAACTGCAAAAATATACCTTGTATACCACTCGTGCTTGCCAGTATAAAATATTTCACGAAGTATATAATTACGAGGGCCTGTACGTGCAAGTGAACCTCCTAAATCAGCAATACACTCGGTCTCTTTACTCAGCACACTCGAACCCTGCAACTTGTGAAAGAAAAGCATAATTCCGTGGTATAAAATTCGACTTCTTTTCAAAGTAGAACTTCGATGAAATTCATTTAGATCACTGATTCTAACGATCTTACTTACTTAATTATTTATGAATGTTGAAACAAAGAGAAATAAGAAAAAAAATTGCAACACACTACTATTTACTACGCATTGCACATTTATACACTTGAGACCTCATCGATCAGCCAATCATATTTCCCAAATTAAACAAGAATAACCTGCTTCTGCGCCTTTATTTCTTTCAAATCAATGGGTTTGGAATGTTCGTAGGGGAATGACCTCTCTGGATGCCAGCAAGCAATTGTGCCGCTCTTACAAATCACCGTACACGGTTTGCTGAAAATTCATTTGAACTTATTCTAATTAATCTTTTCATCATATATTATTACCACTAACTATTTCACCACTTTATTATCACTAATGTTCCTGTGATCACTGCATTTGCTTTAATTCTTCCTTATCCTTCTTTTAACAAGACATCCTTCCATTCAAATATTCGAACATCAAAATTTCTACATATTTCAAATCCTCAGATAGAATACTTCCAGAATAAAAGAAGAGATGCTAATGATGCAAATAGAATGCTTCCAAGATAAAAAAGGACAGACGAATACTAATGATAGCTTTCTTCACAGCTATTAAAGCTTAAACTGTTACCTCAAGTCGATCTCGCCGTAATTGCTGTATCTTCTCAATAGCTGTTGATGAATTACTCGTGATGACTGGATATATCGATGGGCAGAGCGAAACATCACCTCTACTTATTTATCTCTTACCACAATATAGGTATTCCCTAAGTCCCATTTCCATCTAAATTGATATTTACTCAAATGGGTTTGAATTTGACGGGCCGCATTCGCTCTGATCGAGCGCATCAGCACTTGCATCGATTTACGTACGTGGTAATTGTTAGTAGTGGAGTAAGTTGTTGCGTGATATCGAAGTACTTACCGGTTTACCTTATCATGCATTGAAGGAAATAAACTACTGATTTAATGAAGAGTATGAGCATGAATGGGGTAATTGTAATTATACTATGTATTTATTTTTATCATTTCTTCACTATTTTTTTCTCACATTTTCAAAATTATTTATATTAATAAAGTAATTGTACTTTGCAAGCAGTGTTTATTTTCATTTTACTTTTAATGTACTCTATTATTTCAATTTCCAGCTTACTAATGTCCTCAGAAGATAGTTCAAGTGATGACGAATCAAGAGTAAATGCCCAGGAAAGCACATCAGAGGATGATTCCATAGCTGAGGAGCAGCAACGAAGTACAGTCACATCATCGGATGACGATGATGAACAAATAAGGAAGAAAGGTGAAATTCGTAGTGCTTATGAAGTTCACTGATGACATTCTTCCTCTTTTTACTGTATTTGGTAATTGTGGATTTTTCTTCATAGTGGAAGGCTTCACTGTTGAAAAAAGCGTATCTGCAGGAAGTGATGACTCTGGTGCTCCTTCAGAGCGACGTTTGGAAGCTGAGGAAGATTTAGATGCCCTATCAGAACGGCAGCCATTTCCAGCTGTTTCTGATGATTCAGATTCTGTTTCGGAACACAAGTTAGATGAAGCAAAGGAATCCAATGATAGCGAAAAAGATGGTGACAATACATCAAAGAGCCCTTCAGAAGCAGATGAAATAGAGGAGGGGAAACAAGGGCTTAAAGATATTGCATTATCTGAAAGTGACAGTGATAAAGAAAGTGACGAAGGACGAAAGGTTAGTTTCCTTAGATTTTTATTGATTATTAAGGCGAAACCTTTGATAACCAATAAAAATTCGTTAACTTTAAATTATAGAATTCACGATCTTTTAAATCTACTTTATCGGTTCTGGGAAACTTGATAAAAAATACTAAAATCACTCCTTTTATTTCGCAAACCGGAACAGAATTTCACTGCAGCTTTAAAATTTCCGTAATTGCAAATAGCGTAATAACATGTTGTGGTGCAAAATACTGCTTTCCCATAAATTTTGGAAAATAGTCGAATGTCATGTTTGAGGTACATGATACCAATTAAAAATGAATCTGATTTCGAGAATTTAAAAAAATGTAGTTTTATTGCGTATTAAATGAGTTTGAATATGGCATTAATAGCATCCTGAATTGTAAGTAAGATATATTTGATAAGACTTTAACTTCAAGAATTAGTTCTATCACTCAAAAAAGGCACAAAGGTTTTGTTGTAGGAATTAACAGAGGATGACATAGTTGGACCGCGTCTTTATCCTGATCCAGAAACAAGTGCTGCAGATACTGAACGTCTTGAGCCGACAATCGTTGAAGTTAACACTGCAAGAATATGTCCAAAATTTACTGACGAAGGATTATATTTTGTGAAATTCCCAAACTTTTTGAGTATTGAACCGCGTCCATTTGATCAGGATCATTATGAAGATGAATTTGATGAAGACGATTTGCTAGATGAAGAGGGACGTGCTAGATTAAAGTTGCGAGTATGTACTGATGTTCTTCTCTATAACATCTTACAGATATGTAAAATACCCAGCATTCAGCTTTTATGACTATTTTTCAAAATCTAGCCTCGAATGGATTGCTTAGTGTCAAGAACTCTTTAATGTCAAGCATACACTTTGATTAAACTCTATTGCTGAAGAAAATAGCTTGCTGTAACAAATATATAGGGATATGACTGCAGTTCATTTCCTAGTTATATCTATGTAATGAGCGATATAAAACTGCGAACCAGGTATTCTCTAATTTTGAGCTAATGTAACAATGCAGTCATTAAGTGCATCTGTGCACATCAATTGATATTGAACTAGTGCTGATTTTAACTATAATACTTAAACTACTTTGTTTGTAGGTGGAAAATACAATCCGTTGGCGTTATGTATTAGATGATGCTGGTAATATACAGAAGCAGGGAAATTCAAAGGTTGTTCGCTGGTCGGATGGAACGTGTGTTTCTGGCATACTGTTGTTGATTTTATTGGATTTTTTAAAAGATTTTTAGTGTCACCTGTGGAAAGACTTTCAGGATGTCTCTTTACCTTGGTGGAGAAATTTTCGATATAACAGTACAACCAATGCAACTTGATAATCATTTGTTCTTACGACAAGGTGCGGGCTTACAAGGGCATGCTGTTTTCAAGTAAGTTCCAATTTTCAATTTTCTAGTTAAAATTATATTTCTTCATTTTTGAGTTTGCCAGACGTAAGGTGTGTTTCATTTCGTTTTCAAGACATAATCCAAGCCCCGAAGATTTTATGTGTGAATAAAATGATTTGAGAAAGCTTTTTTACTTTATTATATGTGCTGACTTTGGATGAGAAACATCTTTGTTTAAAGGGAAAAATTAGTATTTCGGCCGCATTCAACTGATTCTATCACGCATCGAAAAGTTACACTATCAATGGCAGATCGATCTAATAAGTCGCAGAAAGTAAAAGTTTTAACAGCAGTTGGTTCAAATCCAGAATCGAAGAAGGCGGTATAATTTGTCCTTTATTTTCAATTTATAGCTTGCAAATGTAATTTTGAGTAAGAGGAAGGATAGAATATAGTAGAGGTATTCTGCTTCAGGAAATAGTTCGAAAAGAAGAAGAACGTATGCGTGCTCAAAGTCGTCGTGAAGCACAACAGAGGCGTAATCGTATGCGTCCATCCCTAGGTCGGTCAGGGCTGACCGCTAACTTTTTGGAGGACAGAGACGAAGATTCTGGTACAGCTAAAGATTTTACTATTTTTTTTTTTTCATTGATCTTTATTAGATTTAACATTCTGTCTTATAGACGAAGAGTCAATATCTGCCATCAAGAATCGCTATAAGCATGGTTTGGATGATAGACCGTTGATTGGCCATTCAGATTCTGAAGATTCAGATTCCAAGAGACTGCACGATGCTAAAAAAGATAGCGAAGACAGTGATAGTGACCAGGTTATTGGCTTAATATTATTCTTTAAATACAGTATTGTGGTATTTTTTTCCTTTGATCGCAGGATAACTGTTAATAAATGAGTCCATAAATAGATTCAGAATGATTAGGTTTGTCATTGCAGGAAAGGAGAAAACAGAAAAAAAGAAAAGTGATTATTGAAGATGATGATGATGAAGATAATTAAGATTTGTTAAATCTTTGTATGTATGATGTTGTTATGCTTCACTTTTATTTTTTGGTGTGATTTTCTTGAATCTTTGTTGATGGTTCTCCAATATAGTATGATTGTTTTAGTTATGAATTATCTGTGCACTGAATATATTAGACTTTTTTGAATTCATGAGTGGAAAAATAGTAGTGCAGATTTATACCAGTTATTTAAATGACAAACTTTGCTTATT